CTCTAAAAATTTAGTAGTAAGAACCATACAAAATGCATGTGATTGACAAATCAGACTCCTGCTTTGCAATCATCCAATTTTGTTTATCATGCATATGATTGCAGAGTGAATTGGACTCCACTTGGTCCTATTACCATTATAAACTGGAATAAATGAGGTACTTCAAACTAACTTAAGTAAAGCAACACCTGACGTCAAACATTAGTATAAAACAAAGCTGATAAAGGGCAATTGATCCAGTTTTTTTTGTGCTTGTATGTGGAATTATGTGCAACCCCCAAAATCTTAGACTTACTTGTGCTTCAGCAACTTTGTGCTGATGTCGAAGATAAAAAGGCTTGACCAAGAGCATCCAAGGTACACACAATACAGCTATGATAACTAGTATAGGCTGGATAACATCCTGTAGTGAAAACAAAGAACAATGAGATAAGAATACAGAACAAATACAAATTAAATTAGACACAGTTAGTGATACTTTGCTTTTTCAGTGTTGAAGGAACTAAGAAATATTCCCATTTTTGTGGTAGTTCTTTGGTTATGTGGTCAGATTCCACCCCACCTTACTGTAATTATTTTCCTTTCTTCTTTGTAGGGATGGGCAAAGCTCAAATGCTTTGCCCAAAAGCACAATGGTAACAGCTGTATGAAATAAAGATACTATCCCAGAGGCAGCCAAAAATGTTTGATTGTAGAATGCCAATTCCATGCCCTACAAACACACTGTCCCTAGATCACAAAGCATGGTTGAGAAAAATGATCCCTTGCCCTGTTTGGCTTCATCTCATACAGAGATAGATGGTTTAACAGGAATCCTGCAAACTACCTGTCCTGGGAAGAGAAGCTCAGAACCGTGGATAGGTCCTCCAAATTTAAGAAACATGTTGATGAGTGCCAACAGCAAACTTGGATACTACAAGAAATGTAAAAAACAAATGATCAAAAATAATTTTTTAGCCATAATCAATCCCTTATTTAGATTGTTTAAAATGGATTCAAATGTAACTGATATCAATGTCCTGTTTAAAAACTGAGTTACAATGCTACTTCAGCCTAATTTGCATCTGTAGAAGAGCATGGCTAACTATACATTTATGCTAATTCAACGTTAAAACTATTTAACTCAAAGTATATTCAGTCACTTACAATCAGCAAACTTAAACTTAATTTCCTTTGATGAGGTATGAAAATTTTCAAACAGATAGAGCAATCCTTTCACATGCTGAATTTTGAAGATATCCAAGCAATTTTAGGCAGTATTAAGAAGTACTTTGGGTGCTAAAATCTACTCATTACTGCCTGAAAAGGAGAACATTGCACTGAAAGTTTCTCCACAAAATTACATGCTCTTCATTCCTTATAAACACCTCTTAACCCTTCATTCAAATCATTCAGAGGCTGGAAATCCTAACACATGCATGTGTTTATCAAAAATTCTTTCCAGACAGAGGTAAAAACTAAGGCAAACAGTAGATCACCTCTGAACACTCCTGAATTAAGTTCACTGATTTGGCTATGAGAGTTTTACAAAACTTACACCCTTCGAAGTAACACTGATGGCAATCCACTTGTAGAAGATCAAAATGACCAGGTAACCAAAGATGCAAAACAAAAACAGAACCTGGAAAAAGAAAATGGATATCATGGAAAAAATTACAAGGAAATTATGTGTATCACAAATAAGGGTAATTTAATTAAATCAAGTTTCATTAAATAAAAAACGAAAACAAAACAAAAATGGTAGTGGTCAAAAGAAAAATAAAAAGTACCACAAGGAAACCATGAGAAATTCCCATTAGAAATTTAACTTACAACAAACAAATTGCCTAAAACATCAGAAAATGCAAGCTCCCTGGTCCCTATTTTTCAGTTCCATGTACCATACAATTATTATTTTTGTTCTGTCAATTTGGTATTGGATCAACTAATAATCCTCTTATTGATAATTCTCCCTATTCTCACCACTTTTCTGCTTGATATTGTACCGAAATTGTTAGGAGACATTACTTCTTGATCACTCATAAGAGTTAAGGGTTAAGTTTTTGACATGTAACACTATCAAAGGAACAAAATGTTGACTTACATGTCTTGAACAATGGTAATTTTATTTGTCAAAAAAACAAAAAAAACCTAAGGTAAGCTAAGGTAATTTATAAGCATTGTGGAATGATAATGTCTTGTGTATTAACAGAAAACGTGCTAGAAACTACTTTTCTGGAAACAAAAAGGAGTGAATCTTAGTAATATGTTATTCACACAGAACAAACTACCTGTGGTATAAACTCTGTGAAGATATTCAGAGGTTTATTGAAGTGCCTGCAGAAACAAACAAGACAACATTAGCAAAAAGTCAAAAAATGTAAAGTGTTACACCACACCTGAGTTCTACAACTGTACTTTGTGTTTAACAACTTAACCCTTTCCATCCTAACATCAGTATGCATATTCTCCATACTGTTCTCTATACATTTCCTGAGAATTTGACAGGCAGAATTTGTTTAACAATCCAGACCTTCTTCAGTTGGTGATCATTTCCTTTATTCTCATGACCTAAATGTGTGACTCAGAGGTGATATTGTAAGGAGAAATTGCATGCTAATCACCCTTAAGATTTAAAGGGTTAAGGTCGATAAGGTCAATGTCTACCTATGATTGAAGAAACTCAGACAAACACCAAACATCATATGTGTCACACCAAACACAATGGACAGCTTCATTTTGAATGAATTGGTGAAAGTCAGTTTGTTGGTAGCTAATTGCCAGATCTGAAAATTAAATAAAGGAAATCAAATTAAAAAATTAAATAAACAAATAAATAAATGGATTTTAAATTTGCAGTTCACACAATTTTTATGTATTTTAATGTACAGTCAATCCTGTATTGGGTGATCATCCATGGGGAATGACAAGATGACCGCTTAACACAAGTTGAGTGCTTAATACAGGTTCCAAAAATCAGGGTAACATAGAAAAAGATAAAAAAAAAAAAAACCATTATATGCAATAATTGAGCACTTATAATACAAAACTTGCTCAAAAATACTACTAACATTGATTAAGGGAGAGAGATAAGGATAATATTATATTTGGAAGATTTTTCTAAGTTTTATTCAAACAGTCCTACTTAAATACAGATGGAAGACAATACAAACAGGTTGTTGGGACTCACTCAAAGGTGACCATGACTGTTTAACCCTTAAACTCCCATGGGTAACCAAGACAGAATTTTTCCTTACAATATCAATACAATATCAACCAGATAATGATAAGAAGAAAAATATCAATTTGAGGATAATAATTGATTCAATTCTAAATTCTCTGAACCAACCCTATAAGAATTTATGGTGGACAGTGAGGAGAATTACAAATTTGATCTGAGAGTTAAAGGGTTAATAGAAGTGACTGCTTAATATAGGTGAAAATTAAGGTGATTAAGCCAAAAAATTTCCAGATTTTGATAACCAACCACTTAATACAGGTTAACCACTTAATACAGTGCCCCTTAACCCTTTACCTCCCAAGATCTGATTGTTAATTCTCCCCTGTAGCTGCTACACATTTCCTTGTAAATTAGTTATGAGAACTTGGTGCTAGATCAAGAGAGCAGCTTCTACCTGATAAGTTTGAATATTCTCATTACTTATTTGCTGAAGAATGTATGGATATTGTTGGGAGAAGATTTATGTTAATCACTTGTGGGAGTTAAAGGGTTAAGACAGGTTCAACTTTTTGTACAGTTTGTCTTCATTACATAAACAGTCACAACTGCCATGGACAGTTGCAGGTGTTACATTATGAAGTGATATAAATCCAATTTTTCTCTTCCTGTTCCCCTCCCTCTATCAAGCAATGTTGAATTTACTGCAGGATATCAAGTTACATGATGTACAAACACCCTGACCATGCACCTTGGTATGGAGTGAGCAATGTAACTCACATTTATTTATTTTAATCCATAATATGAAGATTCTCCATGCTTAACACTCAAGTGACCGAGGCAAAAGAGGCAAATTGTGTCCAGAGAAAACATTTTGAGGGTTTCTTAGAACTGTCTAAAGTATTTTTGATAACCAAAGGACCCAAAATAACGTGTGTATAAATTTCCTTGATCAGCTTGTTAAAGTTTGTGGTAATTTTCCCTAGTTTCATTCTCATACATGTTCATGTAGACAAACACTAGAGAGTGGAAGAATTGGATAGAATAAAAAAAAAAAAAAACCAGCATAAACAACACATGACTGGAATACTTACTGGGTCAATACCAAAGTAGTATGGTATCCCACGGTATGTCTCCTGTGGCTCAACCATAATATCTTGGTTCTCTGCATAAGAGTCTAATGCCTTTTTGCTAAAGAAACATTCAGCAATCAGACATGTAAAGAAATCACAAGGTATAATAAAAAAAACCTAAAATAAAATATATAACTGCAAGAAGGGACAATTAATAGTTCAATCTTGCATGAGTTGTATTCTGAGGGTAAATAAAAACATTCTGTACATACTTGATTGGACCATAATCTACACTAAGATCCCAGGCTGTGCCAAAGATGTTAAAGGACTTGGAAAAGCAGTCGTTATAAATAAGACCAGTGTAGACTGCAAACAATCCCATCAGCATGATGATGTAGCGTCCCTCGAAAACTGTATCAAACATCTGAGGACAGAAACAACATCAATTTATGAGAGGAAATTATAGATCTGTCAACTTACTTGGTACCGCATTTTTCAGGAAATGTTTAAAAGCACCAAGTTGATATCTTTCTAATGCTTGAAAGCACAAAAAATGATAAGAACTTCCACAGCTGAAAAACTCCTTTGATATCCTGAGATGCTCCTTTGTAGAATTTGGTATTGGATCTTCTAATACTCTCCATATTGACATTTTCCTTTGAACTCATCACTTGTTTGTTTGACACTGTATTGATAACGTAAGGAGAAAGTTTTTTCCTTGTTGCTCATAAGAGTTCAAGGGTTAAGTTAAACTCATATCAGCCCTAGAGCTGGGCAGTCTATGCAGCCAGACCTTATTCTAGTTTCTCTGGCAGAAGCCAAAAATGAATGCTGCTGTTCTTCCTGAATGAGATACTAGTTCATCCAAAGTTACCCCCCTACCCTCCCCCCACCCCTCCATTTTATCTGGCTTTCCTGAAAATTCTCTGGGATCCATTTAAACTCCTTGGTGGGAAGAAACACTGTGAGAGTAAGAGGTCTGGACCAAACACACAATACAATGACCTGGCCAAATCTTCAATAAGGACCATTTGATCCAAAGTCCAGTACCCTACCTGTTACACCACAATATCTGTTTAATAACACATCACACCAGAAAATTCTAAAATGTTTTCTTTAACTGAAATTAAGTCTACCTCTCCTCCTTCTTTATAGCCTGCCAGTTTCCTTTCATTCACAACCAACCACAGGGCAAACAGAAACATGATCAAACCATGACCACAGTCTCCAAACATGACCGCAAACAAGAATGGAAATGTGATGACTGTAAACAAGGCTGGAAAGAAAGAATTAAAATACATCTTAATGCTATAACTACCTCTCTAAATGGAAATTACATGACCACATATACACCACAATAAAAAGGAATATTGATCTCTAAGTTATAATTTTTTAAAGTAAAGTACCTGGATTTACTTCCTGATAGTTTGCTACTCCATAGGCATCTACAATGGCTTGAAACCCCTGGGTAAACTTGTTAGTCCTGTTGAAAGTTGGAGGCTCCTGACGAGTGGTCATGCGATTCAGAATAGATGGTATAGCAGCACCACTGCGCTCTGTGCCTCGCCGCAGTGCTTGCTGAATTCTATCCAAGTCACTAACTGGACACCAACACTCAGCAATAAGACATTTCTGAGTAACATCCAGGTTGAACATGTTCATGGTGTGATAAATAGCCTTGATCTTTTTGACCTAGCAATGTGAAATCAAATCATAGAATAATAGTGTAAATATCTTACAAAACTTTTGGTTCTCATAATACCTACTTTACCGCTAAACAAATTCTCCTTATCAGTGCATTAGGAAATGTGTGAAGAACAGTACAGAGAATATGCATACTGATGTTAGGGTTTGAAATCCTATGCAATTATAACTTTAATTACCTTAATAAACCACTGATTTATATTCTTTTCCACAGTCATCAACAATCGATGGCGATGGTCACGTGTTTCATTCAATACCTTGATAAAATGTGAAGAAAAACATAAGAAAGTTACCTCAAATCAAAGTTAACTTAACCCTAACATCAATAAATTGTCCCTTGATTAGTAGACCAGTATATGTTACTCACTGTTTGAAGATCTTCAATTCTAGTGGTTACTCCAATGGCCATTTCTCGCCTCTCCGCTGCAGTATCTGGGCAAGGATACAACGTAGCACGGAATCTAAAAGGAAAAAGCCAAAATTTTTGGGTCATCATTTATCTCATATTATAAATTTAAAGACTTTAACCAAACCAATGGCCAAGTTAATCCATTTTGTGGATGAAAATCACCAAAGAAGCTCTAAATTCCACAGTATGACATAATAAACCCAGGATTAAGGCTCATAAGGACTCCAACAACAGTGTTTGAGAGTATAATAAAGTAAGCATATGCATCTATAATACTACAGGAAAGATTACACAGTATAAGCAAATAATAAAAGACTTTCTCACCCCTCACAAATCTTCTTCACCCTGCTTTTGAGCTGATCTCCTTGAAAGAATATAATAAAGACACATTTGTTGACTTGGTCTCCAGTGCTTGGATCTTCCAGAGGAGTCTCTATTTCTGCCTGTTTGAAGAAAACGTTTCCACGACAGGCACGCCACAGAAGACGCTCAAAGGAAGGTACTCGCTCTCTTGCTATAACACCAGTCACAAAACTAGACAAGTGATAGATCAAATGTGCAACAATGTAGGTCAAGAGCAAAAATGATAGAGACACAGTTAAAGGTAACCGCTGAGACAAAATTATACAACTTCAATTCCCTTTCATCTAACTGGGCCATGTTTTGGTAGCAACATACACTCTTATTAATAGTCAACAATATATTACATGTGTATGCATATATATAAATATATGATCAAGCTCTGTTGGTTACTGACAAATTATCTGAAAAATATCTGACAAAATCACACAGGATAGAGCTATTGAATGCAATCAAAACACAAGACTCCAATTTCTCCTGCCTGCTCATGAAGTCAGCCATAGAAACAACATACTAACATACCCCAACTGGGTTGCTGTTGCTGTGGCACTACCTCCTCTTGGCTCCTCACCCAGGAGAGCTTGCATGTCATCAGTACCCTGCGGTTCATGGATCTGTTGTTGATTATGCACATGGAGTTCGGCCTAATCAAAACCATCAATACTATGTTCTAATGCTATATACCCTTAAAGTGCACTGTAAAGCCACACAAATCTAATCATCAACACTTTGATGTCCATGAAAAAAGGTCTTATGTGTGTTTTACCTTTAAGTCACTCATTGTTACAAAAGCAAATAACATCATACTGATGCCGATCGTAATAATCATGAGATTGCTATAGTTTTCCCTTGCATTTTCAGTTTAGTTTTCAAAGCGGTTATGCCAGGTCTTCTAGAAGAGTCTTTTCAAAAATTTTCCTTTTTGCCGAGGGGAGGGAGGATGGTGGGACTTTGGTGATTTTTGTAGAATTAACGGTAAAAATTTGGTGTCTATTTTAGGAAAAATACTACAGAATTAAGATTGGTTTAGTTTCCATTGCCAAGTGAAAATACAGTTAAAAAAAAAGTTGCAATCTGTGGTTAGTGCAGTTATTATTTCAGACAATGACTTTTTGGTTTTCAAGTTAGAGGAGTATTTGTATGACAACAGAAGTGGTTATCAATGAATACAAGAGAGAAATAACATTACTATTAGCCTTATGTAAATACCCAATAAAGATGAAAAACAAGAAGTACAGTACTAACGGAATGAGGCACCTTTTACCCTCTCTGGCATACAAAGAAACAAAAAAGAGTTTACAGGTATACGTATTTATGCATGTGAATGCTCTGCAACCTGTGTAAGCATCAACTTGGAGTTAGTCTTGGTTACTTTTTTGGAAAAAGAAAAAAAAAACTATTCACAGTGAAGACATGAAGGATATAGATAATTTCTAAAATTTTGCTTTCACTGAACTTAACTCTATCTACTAAATGCTTAGCTTGGGGGGAAAAAACTTATGCCTAAATACAAAGGATATTAACCCAAAGCATGCTAAAATATTTTGTATAAGTTCTCAGGATCAATCACAGTAATAGATTTAAATTAAATTACTTTTACATGGAGAAACTGTTCAACTGGTGGAAAGTTATTAAATGGTGGAGAGTATAAGCCACTTTATATTCTAAGTATCAAGAAACTGCCATGCATATAAAAAGTGTTCCCGCAATTAACTGTAATATACACATTTTGGATTAGAGATTTAAGTTATAATTGTAAGGTTTTATTGGCTGTTTCCTCAGTTAATTAGATTTATAAGATTCCAAGGTTCTAACTCGTCAAAAAGAAAATATCTGTTCTCATGGAAAACAACTTCTTTTGAAGGCTTAAACTCAATTCTGGTATATGAAAGCTATGCGTGTGTCAATAAACACGCCCTTTGATAAGAAAAGCTGTATTCGGTTTCAAGGTAGGTTCTAATTAAAAAATGACAAACATTCACAGTGTTGAGTTCTTAAGGTTTGCAAGGTTCAATTCTAAAGGTTTTCAAGGTTCAGTTCTTAAGGTTTGCAAGGTTCAATTCTTAAGGTTTGCAAAGTTCAGTTTTGAGATTCGTGTTCCATTTTTTCATAACAGTTGACTATATTCATGAACACATATGATACACACACAATGATTACATATACATATACCAACTTAATACATGTAGAAATTCACACCTCTTCAAAAAAGGTCTGCGTCTTGCGAAGGATGTGCTTGAGTTCTGTCAACTCCAGAAAGCTCTTCATGAGTGCTTCATAATTCGCATTGCTATCTTTCATTTCATTTTCCAGCTGCTCAAACTGGGCCTAAAGAAATTAAATTCCATCAGACAAGAGTTCCTTCAAAAAATGGATGAGCTATGATTAAAACTCTTCAGTAAATTTATGTTTTTATATGAATATAATTTTGAAGTCTCATACTTTATATTTCCTAGAAAAAGTGCCCATCCTCACTACTAACCTCAAGATCAATCATTTCTCGAGGTTGGGGAGCTTCTGGATTTTCTCCTGTGTCCGAAACTTGGATATCAGCTTTCTCAATTTCCTTCTTCAGAAATCCTGTCGAAACAAAGCAAGACTGTTCATTTGCAGCCTTAAAAAGTACTGTGGAAGGTTAGTTTCTGTTGCAAAGTCTCAGGCTTTTCACTCCCTTGAGAGACTGAAACAGAATTCCTTCTTACAACCAATATTAATACAATATCAAACAGACAAGTGATGAGAATAAAGAAAAGTATCAACTAAGGGATTATTAGTTGATCCAAAACCAAATTCTCTGAATTAACATAATGATAATTGTATGGCAGACGGTAAGGAGAATTACAAATGAGATGCCAGGAGTGGAAAGGCTAAGGAACTGCTTCCAAATGTCAAAGATACATTTAACCCTTTAACTCCCAAGATCTCATCAGTAACTCTCTCTACTGTCTGCCATACAATTCTTATGATGTTACTTTGGAGAATTTGGTATTGGATCAACAAATAATCCCCTAAATTGTCTTTTTCTATATTCTCATCAATTGTGTCTTTGATATTGTTAGGATATTGTAAGGAGAAATTCTGTCTTGGTCACTCACGGAAGTTAAAGGGCTAAGAAGTAATCAATACTATCTCAATCTGCAGGACAGTGTTGTACTGTCAAAATACGCGAAAAACTAAAATTCTTCTAGTCTCTACTTTGAATAACAGTTTCACTTACGAAGTTTCCTTTCCATCTCCTCGCAGCGTCTGACTTCATTGACGAATTTACGTTGAAAGGCATTCACATCTGGATTTAACTGATAGATGAGAACATTTAAACACACAATTAAACAAATGCAGGATTTATTTTATTATTTTAACAACCAGCTTTCGTAGGTCATGGAATGAGATTCTTTAAACCCTTCTAAAACACACTGCGCAAAAGTGTTTTCGAGAAGGAAACATGAGGATTCAAAGATCTGTCCGCAATGATCAAAATATCAATAAAAATTCCATAGTTTGGCCATGCATTCGTTGAATACTTTATCATTAAACTTGAGTTTCACTACTACAAGCAGCATACGAACAGAAATATGTCTACTGGTTGATAATTTAAGATCAAAGTGTAATGATGGTACTCACATCTCGGAACTGCACAAGGCCCTAAGATAGAAAGGATAGAAATAAAACAAGACCATGAGAGTGAGATAACAAAATAAGCCATGTTTGAGACAAACCACCGATAAACATTGCTCTTAAAGGTTCTGGTGAGCAAGCAAAGGTAACAAATTCAAGATGGCGCCGAGTTTAGTGCTTCGACTTACCAGCTCTCCAAGTTCGCTGACACAAGAATAAGCCGCTTCAGCCTGTAGGAAAAGTTGGGCCAGTGTCATTTCCTCCGATCTGAAGAGGGAAGACATCTTGGCAGTGAAGAATACGTATATTTTGGGTTCAGCTAGACAAAATGAACCTGAAAAGTACAAAAGTTACGACGGTGATCTCACCGCCTTCCGATACTGATCACGTGAGTAGCTTTTCTTGTCCCATGATTCATACTAATCCTCGGCAGCTTGCTGTGACTTCCGAAACTTTCCGAAAATGTCCGAAATGAAAACGATGAAGAATTCTTCTAAAAAATTTTAGATACTTGCTTCGTAAAATTCTATGCTGAAAAAATTCCAGGGCTTTAACAGGTTGAAGTAAGGGAAACCCACAATAAGATGAGATGCCATACCGACTGGAAAAGAAGCAACAAACCGGGATTCAGGTGTTTCATAGGTTTCACGCCAGCGCCAGTGAGTCAAGGAGCCCTCCCTCCGACGGAGTGAGTCATCTTAAAATCTTTGCTGAGGTTCCTATCTCCGAAAAGGGCATAGTATTTTTCATACTCGTCTCCAGACACCTGGCTTCTATGATCCATTTCTGTTTTGAGACCTGCTGCCATCTGAAAGTTGTGTCTAATTTCGAAATGTGGTCCGAATTGCATCAGTGCCGGTGTCGAAATTGGTAGAACTCACTCGGAAATTAATCTGGAATGATGTATGATGATTCCCTCTCTTTCTCTGACTTTCATTCGCAGTTAAAAAAGACACATTAATGCTACATCCTCTCTAGGTTGCCATGAAAACCAATCCCCGTCTTAACTCTTAAACTCCCACGAGTGACTAAGACAGAATATCTCAATGTCATTACGATATCAAGCAGACAAGTGGTGAGAATAGAGATAAATATCAATTGAGAGATTATAAGTCGATTTAATACCAAATTCTCCAAACTAACACCACGAGTATTGAGAGGCAGACAGTAAGGGGAATTACTTATGAGATATAGGAGAGAAAGGGTTAAGACGATAAAATTCGAAGTCGATTCCTGTTTTTAGAGAAAATGCCTACAAAAAACGGCACGTATTCCTGTAGGGATTCCACCATTTCAGTGTTACAAATTGGATGACGAAATAACCTATATTAAAGCGCCTGCAAAACAGGCAACGCTGCTTTTTTTGGCGCTATGACATGATCATATATACCCTTGCATAAGTTAGGTTGCGATCATCTTCAAGCGGGAGCACCAAAGGGCCGTCGAAACGGACTAACCGATCCAAAGAAATTAGTTCTTAGACATTCAAGAACATCGGCGAAAATTGAAATAACCAGAGTGAGATTCGTGAGTAAACCAACACACCAAAGCATCATTTTCAAATAAGTTACGCTGGTATTCAGGTATTAACTTTGATAGAGTTACTCTATCAGGATGAAAAAATAAAAAATTAAAAAAGTAAAAAATTCACACATTTTTGAGACTCGTTAATTATTTTAGGTCTTTATGTAACAGTCAAACTTAAACCCATATTTAATGACTATTAATAAATACTTTCTGGAGTAATATCCACTTTAAATAAGGCATGAGTTTATCTCATCGCTCTTAAAGCAAAAAAATCATTTTACGTTAAATATTTTTGAGCTTATTTAATGTCTAAGAATCTCTTTAAGAAAAATTCCGAGTATATTCGTTTCAATATAATCTTCAATGTTTAACAACCTTCATTTTTTTTATAAAGAACTATCCTATGAACTTCATGATAAACTCCGCCCTGTTCCAAATCTTCATGCATCCAATTTTTGAAAGCCGACGAAAGACCAAGGAAAATAGGAGGATGGTATAAAGTACCTAGAAAAGACAAAATAAAAAGTAGAAAAAACTTCCATTCGTTCATTGCGCCCTCTTCGAATGCTTCTTATGAGATACCGGGCGGGAACAAATCCGACTTTGAAATTCTTTTCCGGAAGCCGAACATTAGAATTATTCCTCAAGCTGACCACTCAAAATCGACTTGAAGGAGAATGGTTGAAATTTGTAGCCTGTTCCTTGATAAAACTTGTTCTGGAACTCGACCCTGTGAAGGAAAAAAGACGTATATAATTATGGTACTCTCATGTTAAGAAGACTGGGTTTGAGTCAAAAATCTACGCCTTAATTAAGACAAGTTACGAGCTCCAAACGATCTGCTTGATTAGGAGTTTCCGCCTCTTTGTGGTGTTTGGTTTACCAATTGATGGTGGTAATTACTTTAAGTAAGAAATGAACATTAACTTCTCTGTTGAGGGAAACAAGCAGGGAATGAATAGAAGATGGAGTGGGAAAGCAGAAAATGCGTAAGAGAGTGCGATGAGAACTTACCAATGTAGACGAAGCGAATGCAAAAAGGCCGACAGACCCTCCATGATCAACAGGATGACTACGGTTTCAACTAAGTATAAAAAAAGTGATATGTAATAAATTAGCCTAAATACAAAAATCCCATGATCTCTAAATGAAAACCGCCCCTTCTTATTTTAAGACAGCCTACGCGCATATCCTCTTACGCGCGCGTAACGATCGACGTAATGAAAGATTATTAGGTTAGTCTGGTAAAATGTTATTTCACACTTACCTGCCCAAAGTGAAAATATAACAAAGGCAGCGACAGAACCCAGCCAACCGGTAAATGTGAAAGCTGGACGAAGAGACATGTTCCAAAATACTTCCGACAGCTCTAAAATGTAAGAAATGTTTAGTTTTCACAGTTGTATCAGAAGTTTTTTTAACTATGGAGCTGCGCTGCGTGCACTACGAGCTCCGCTAAAATACCCCGTCTCCAGACCAAGGGGGCCAATCAGAGCCTGGCTTCCCAAGAGGGTAAAGGGGTACTCTTGATGAAATCAAGAAGACAGGGGAGGTATAAGCGAATTCTTACTTGCTGTTCTCACAGAAAAACAATATACGGGCGTACTATTTAAAAGACGGTCCCACGAGTTTTGAAGGAAAGGAAACTTATAACTGACATTTCAACGGATAGGGGGCTGGGCCGAGATCGCCAAAAAGTAAAAGGTATCACGGACATGCCACACGCTGTCTCGCCCCAGTTTTTCGACGTTGAAATCTCTCCTTGCCTTATGCTCTTCCTCCAGATCGTTACAAAAAACCGACTTCAGGCCGTAGGGAGGTTTCTGCAACTAGTATAAAGAATCCTTACAGGATGAACTAATGATCAACACTGTACCGTACGGTATTCTTACCTGCATGAGCTAAACTTAGGGCCCACAGTCGCAAGTAAGAGGCCGTGTTTGAGATACAACTGAGGCAGTATTCGATAGTGTGGATGGCCTGATGTACAAACACTTCCCAAAAATCAAACTAAAAACATAAAAAAGAAAGGAAAACTGATCTGAATTTTTTTTCCGAAAGGAGTCCTGAATCCAACAGCACCCATACCTCCTCACAATGGTCATCAGGTGATTGATCTTCCTGAAACGAGCCGTCATGATAAACCACTGCACCAGAGTCTATACCAGGATCATCCATCTCCCCGGACAAGAGAGGAGTACTGGAGTTACCTGGCCCTAACCTCTGATAACCCTTAAAAAAGGAAATGTTTGACACAGAATCAGATAAATATACATATATATACATATATATCAATTGGAAAGTATACATGAAATATATATGTTTTGTTTTCTCATAAAAAAGAGACACCAGACGTTTCAAGGCTCTCCAGCAGAATAAAAGTGTTATATTTTACATCTAGTTCACTAGCCAGAGCAACTGGTACAGAAGAAAAGTCTAGGTATCAAAGCTTGGTCAATGTGTAGAAAGTCACAATTGCTGAGTTTTACAAAAGAATAGGGTGGGGTATTGGACACATTTTTTGCCCAGAGGACAGGAATCTTAACAAGTTCAAATGTCTGGGGAAGCTTGAAATTGATTGACACATGTAATAAAGCTTCCAAACATCAGGAAACACATTAGCCAATGAAATTCCCCTTGAAATGTCCAGGATCAAATCCAAAGTGATTTCTGCGCAATTACACAATAACATACAACCCTTGCTTTTTACATCACATGAGGTAAACAATAAAGATAGCCAGGAATTACTTGACCTACATGTTCTTTGTTAACTCTGTGCCGATGTCGGAGATATAAGGGCTTTGTTAAGAGCATCCAGGGAACACAGAGCATTGCTATAACAACCAGTAATGGTTGAACAACAGCCTGTCATAAGAGCAGAGAAACACCATTTAAAATGTCAATCCTTCCACTCCCAATGTCTTATTTAACAATTCTCCTTATTATCTGCTATACAATTCTTATGAAGTTAAGTCTGAGAATTTGAGTATTAGATCCACCATTGATCCCCTAATTTATCTGTTTCTTTATTCTCAATGTTTGTCTCATGCTTTATATTGTAGACAATGTATTGATATTGTAAGGAGAAATTCTATCTAAGTCACTTACTGGAGTTTAAATAGGGCTAGACACTTAGTAAAGTGCTCTGGCCAACAAAACGCTCTCAAGTATTTCATACACAACAAAAAAGATGCATTATACACTGAAAATAAAAACCATTTTTGAGCACCTGTCCATCGTACAGAAGATTTTCATCTTTTATCTTTGAACCAAATTCCAGAAACATGTTGATGAGTGCCAACAGTAAGCTTGGTTGCTGCAAAATCAAGCAAACATTGCATGAACAAAGAGGTACACAACTTAAATCAATAAACTTAAATATTTGCTTGTAACATGGCAAACGAGACCTAAAAAACCCCAAACATGATTACTTGCAGTGTTGTTAAATAGGGGATATGTAGATGTATAGGGCTGTAAAATGCATCCAAATAAGGTGGCAGCAAAGCTTTACAAGTTAAAGTGATCTTCCAGTAGCTAAAATAAACTTTTAAGCTTGGTGATTGTGGTTTGTTGAGCAACAAACAATTTATATTGAAATAGAAAGGTACTCCTCTAGATTGCCACTGAATATAAACAAATCCCAATAAAATGGAAACGGGAAATTAGCAAAGGACATTCCTGACCACAAGTTGACTCTTCTTGTCCACTGTTTCTAGGTTGAATTGGAATTTGGAATGTTGGGGTTTTTGTGGAAGGAGGAAAACCAGAGGATCCTGCAGAAAAACCCTTAAAGCAAGGATGATAACCAACAAGAAGCTCAGCCCACGTGTGACACCAAGGGCGACACCAATAACTCACATTCTTACTGTTGATATCTATAGCAATCCATTTGTAGACAATCAGAATGACCAGGTAACCAAAGATGCATGACAAAAACAGGATCTGGAAGAAGAAAAAAAAAAACAAGAAAATGTTTGCTATTGACAATCCTTTGCTTCTGACAATCCTTTTGGCTGGTGCAATCTACCAACAATGTCTGGAAGAAACCACTCTCTTAATTCTGACATCAGAATGATCACATAAATGTAGTACAAACAAAAAATGAAAATAACACAGGAAAGAATTTTTACACACAAACAACTGATGTGGCCATAACCATGTGATCTGAAGTGTTGATCACATGATCACTACTAGCTCTAGGAATGAGATTGTACTTCAACCTTATCCTGACAAGCTTCAACCCACAATAAGGAACTAGACAGTATATATATAAAGCTTACTTTTATTTGCAATTCAAGAGATCAAGAGAATGATTCTCAAAAACAGAAAGAATAAGTTTGCATATTGACAGGAAAAACCTGCAAAGGGTGGTCAGGTTGGAGATTAGCATGATTGACCAAGGAAGAATTTCTTCTTACAATATTCATACAATATCAAGCACGCAAGTGATGAGAATAAAGAAAAGTCTCAATTGGGGAATTATTAGAAGATCCAAAACCAAATCCTCAAAGCTAAAATCACAAGAATTTTATAGCAGACTGTAAGAAGAATAACTAAATGAGATCTTGGGAATGAAAGGGTTAGGGAGTGACATACATTTATGGAAAATCTTGCCAGCAGTGATTCCCATTTAACCATCTTTTAACCATTTCAATCCCAAAATCTAAAGATTAATTCTGCCCACTGTCATCTATACATTTCATGTAATCTTAGCACTGAGAATTTGGTGTTAAATCAGCAAATATCGTATCTGAAATTTGTTAATAAAATTGTTTCTTTCTGCTTATTTTGTTTCTAATTAAAAATGACATTGCAAGGAGAAATTCCTATCTGGTCTCACCTGGGAGCAAAAGGGTAAATGGGTAGATTTGTGGTGCAGAGATGAGCAGCTTCTTACCAATGCTGTTGGTAGGCATCAAGTAGCAACAACAACAAAAAATCAGCAAGCAGCACTTAATGCATATAGAAGCAAAGCAACTTAAGATCAGCTCTGATCAGTTAACATAAAGCTCTTTAAGTTACCAGTAGGTATTCAATTCATGCAAGGAAAACATACTGCTGCCCAAAATGCCAGTCATCTAACACTTACACTGCAGGAAATATGTTAGCTTCCTCATTTTACACTCATGCATATATTGCATTTTTTAGCACTGTCTGTTACTATCTAGTCCACACAGGTTACAGAAAGCGAAAACAAAAAACGTTTGCATTTTGCCTTTTATTTGACCAATATTACACCAGCCTGTATATTCATGAAAAAATTCATATATACTTGAAATAATTTCATTTCTGCCATGAAGTCTATCTGTTTGAGTTTTGACCATGAAGAATATGTGGATAAAATCAACATCTTGATCAGCAGGGATTTGCTAAAGCAAAGGCATAGAAAAAACCAGGAAAGATTTATTACTCGACGTTTCGGGGTCATCGTGACTCCATTATCAAGAGACTAGTTTAAAATCAACGTCCAATAAGTAATTCAATTTCACTTACCTGGGGTACTAACTCAGCAACAATATCTAAAGATTTGTTGAAGTGTCTAGAGAATAAAAAAGTTGCATATTAATAATATCTGAGACAATTTTCAACTAGTCTCTCAAACAAAGGCCAAGTTTCTGAGGCTGTTCTGGACAAACTTGTACCCTACACATGTTCAAGTTATATTCCATGAATAGGTGCTGCAGTCCTTGATGCTGCATTTATTTTATTGCTAGGAAGTCTTAAGGTAAATCCGAGCATTCTGACAGGTTCCTACTTGGTCAAGATTTTGCCACATGGACCATATCCACAGAAACAGTCATAATTAAACCATGTATTTTTGTTTGAAAAAGCTGGAATATTCAATTGAAAATAAATAAGTTTCATGGAGTGCCAAATAATAATCTACTCACTCACCTTCCTTGCTCAAGCTGTACTGGAGAATAATGGCTCTGGATCGTTTTTGACCTTGCTGTGCTTGGTTTGTACTGCTATGACCTCAGGCCAATATTCCCCTGTACAGCCCTTGTGCTCAGTTAATAAGAAGTTATTATTCAGGGGCCATGTTATTTCCTTTCATGTGGAACTTATTTCTAGGGCTGTACCATCTCACTCTAAGGTGACACTACATTAGGGTTGAAATTAGATTTCCTAAAAAATAATCTCACAAAGGCTGGGTCACAGGCCAACCAAGGCCATACTAGCTACCCCTCCTGTAAAGATTTTATGGATAAAATAATATTTCATCACTTTAAGATCTACATTTCATTACCGATGATTAAAGAAATTTAGACAAACTCCAAACATCATGTGGGCCACTCCAATTACAATAGACATCTTCATTTTGAATGAGTTGGTAAATGCAAGTTTGTTCGTAGCCAGCTGCCAGATCTGAAATGAAGCAGAGGTAAAGAAGAATCAGATTCTAAAGTTTTTTTCTTTTTTTGAAGAAGTGTTCATGGTTTTCCCAGATTTATGGTTACTGACAGTCAGCAAATTCTTCAGAACTTTTTTTAGCCATTAATTTTGTTGTTAGCTCAAAACATTAGAAATGGCTTTGATAAAACAAACTTTCAGTAATATTGTTTTAAGCATTAAAAAGTGTAAATGAAATGTTTTATTTGTAGTTCATTAAAGGACAGATACAAATTCTCTGTTAATTTTATCAAGAAAGGACAGAAAGTTATTCTGACAATATTTTCCAGCTGGCAAACTGCTCAATCTATAAGTATTATCTTTAAGACTTATAGAGCAGTTACTAAAATAGGTACTTGTAAAAGTTGTTTTTAATCACTACACACTTACTGGGTCAATACCAAAGAAGTACGGCACCCCTCTTATATATGTTTCCCTGGGGTCTACCCAGATTTCTTCTTTCTCTGCAACTGACTTATTTAGGTTGTCCTTACTAAAAGACAAAATGGCAATTAAATTTAAAAGCAAGAAAATTAATTGTATTTTTTTTTCCTTCATTACAGTGCAGAGATCCGTAGATATTTCTTTACTGCATGGTGGATTTTTTTTACTAATAAATGGAATGTAATCTCTAGTTAGAACAATTTTCAATCAGGTGTATTAGGTGTTGATAGTAAATTGAGATTGCATTAGCTCTGCCTTACCTTGCTCTGTGATTGGTCCAAATATCTTGTGCCACATTCTCAACCCATTAGATCCAAAACTAAGACCATTTACAACATGGTTGCCAAGGTTTTCCCATGCTTAAGATGGTTTGGTTGTTTTAAGTTTGAATTCTCATTGGGTTTTAGAGGCATTTTCCTTTCTTCTGAAAGGCTGTAGTTGTGATTATTTTTGGTTTTGGTCTCCAACAGCCAAATGGAAAGCACTCTACTACTGTGACAATAGATTGCCATGTTTCCTTAAAATTGAGGCCTAGTAACTATTCAGGAAAGTTTGTGTACCTCAATAAACTATTGTCAGTGTCTAGAGATAATGTTTACTTCTGATCATTGCCCTTACATTATTCATACCTGATTGGACTCCAATCTACACTAAGATCCCAGGCTGTGCCAAAGATGTTGAAGGACTTGGAAAAGCAGTCATTGTAAATAAGACCAGTGTACATGGCAAACAGTCCCATCAACAAGATGATATAGCGGCCATGAAAAATGGTCTCAAACATCTTCACAACAATATGCAATAATTGGAAAGAAAATAAGAAGGTTAATTATCATTATCATAATGATATTTAATCACTGCCATATTAGGACACCATAGAGTCCATTCAATGCTCATCATTGAGGTTTGAAGCTTGAAGCCCAACAGATTATCTGTCTATCTTAGCTTTGAATGTGACACCTACCTCACCACCACCTTTATAATTTTTCAGCTTCTTTTCCTTCAGAACTAACCACAATGCAAATAGGAACATTATCAAGCCATGGCCACAGTCTCCAAACATGATCGCAAACAGAAATGGGAAGGTAATGATAGTAAACAGGGCTAAGGAAACATGAAGGAATGGAAAAAAAATCAATTTGAATATATTAGCTATCAAGCCAAGTCGCAGTTTCTGTAATGATTTGATTTGGTGCCCTCCTTCCAATATATAAGTGCCCCCTTTGTTGTGGGTGACCCCCTCAAATTTGTTTATCTTGATAGGCATCCCTATTTTAATAAGCACCCCTATTGAGTAAGCATCCTCAGTACAATAAGCACCCCTATACCAGTAAGCACCTCTATTCCACCTAAAGCCCCTGTTCTGTTTCAGTTATAGCAGTGTTAGAGTACATACTACACTGAAGTCGACTCAACCATGGTTCATCTTCTTTAACCAGTAACTGCTCACTTAGTCCCTTATGACTAAAACAGTCTGGTCTTGACCATCTCAGTCTTTCAACTATTACGTCCCTTTAAATGCTTAAAGTTCCTTTGAACGAAAGATCCCATTTTAAAACTTTGTGATGATTGCTTGGCTAGTTGTTCTAGCTAAGAAGAGTCCAGGGTCAACAAGTCTGTTTCCAGTTTTTGTTATTCTTTCCAACTAAACATCAAATGAAAGCTTTAATGTTTCACATTTTTCTGTTTCTGAAAAAAGAGATAAGCACCCTGTCTCTAGAAAGCACCCGGTTTCAAATAGGCACCCTCCCCTGAGCTACCAAAAGTACACAGTTTGGAATGGTCATCTTAATATTCTAATAATACTTATTTACTACTAAAGTAAGTAAGAGTAAAGATCACATGGAATCACCTGGATTAACCTCTTGATAGTTTGCTACTCCATAGGCATCTACAATGGCTTGAAACCCCTGGGTAAACTTGTTAGTCCTGTTGAAAGTTGGAGGCTCTTGATCAGAGGCCATGCGATTCAGAATAGATGGTATAGCAGCACCACTACGCTCTGTGCCTCGCCGCAATGCTTGATGAATCTTGTCCAAGTCACTTACTGGACACCAACATTCAGCAATAAGACATTTCTGAGTAACATCCAAGTTGAACGTGTTCATGGTATGATATATGGCCTTGATCTTTTTAACCTGGGAACCAAAACAAAAAATGACAAGTACTAATAAACTAATGCAAAATTTACATTTAATATTTCATTATTTGAATCTGGTAGTGAGATCTCATTATCTTTCCTAGGATGTTAATTTGGTACCGACTGTATGGTAAATTACATGGCAATGAACTTAACAGGGGCATCTATACCTATATAAGACTCTTGATTTTTTCTAATGATAATAAATGACCAGTAAAACTATTAAAACATAATATTATATAATTACATGTTTATCCTTTTAACTCCCAGAAGTGATTAACAAGTAACTTCTCCCAATAATATCAAAACATTATCCAGCAAACAGGTCATGAGAATATTCAAACTCATCAGGCAGAAATTGTTACCTTGATCTAACACCAAATTATTGTAACATATTTATGAGGAAACATGTAGCAGCTAGAGGGGAGAATTAACAACCAGATCTTGGGAGTTAAAGGGTTAACTATTAATGATTTCTAATAAATACCTTAATAAACCACTGACTAATGTTCTTTGCCAAAGTTGTCAACAAGCTGTAACGATGGTCTCTTGTCTCATTTAAGACCTGAATGAAATAAAATTTGACAATAAAATGACAACATGAGATATAACTTATTTACTAACTTGGTAAACTAGACAGAATTACAAGTGTATAATATATAGATCAAATCTGTTCCAGTTTTAGTTCAAAGTTTGTTCTGTTGCATTTACTTAACCAATGATTCATGTTAATTCCTTTATCACTATACTGGTATATATTTATATTGTAGAACCCTCCTGACTGGAACTAGGTTAACTAACTATAACAAGATCTGATTTCCCTTATGTGACTTTTCAACATTTACTATTGGCTAACTCTAACCCCAGGTGCTAACTCAAAGTGTTTTTTTCCTTGGGAGTTTGAGTTAGCAAGGCTCTACTGTATATATACATATGTACATACACACCTGTTTTCAAAAATTTTACAACATTGAAAATGTATATTAAATATGTACATACACGCCTGTTTTCAAAAATTTTACAACATTGAAAATGTATATTAAATATGTACATACACACCTGTTTTCAAAAATTTTACAACATTGAAAATGTATATTAAATATGTACATACACACCTGTTTTCAAAAATTTTACAACATTGAAAATGTATATTAAATATGTACATACACACCTGTTTTCAAAAATTTTACAACATTGAAAATGTATATTAAATATGCATACCTTATATATTCTCATCAAAAAGAGACACTTTTTGACAAGAAAACAAAAGATATATATATTTAATATATATTTTCAATGTTGCAACATTATAAAAACAGGTATGCATATATGTATATATCTGTATAAATATATATATATATTCAAATTACCGGTATATATATTCAGTTACACAAACATCGGCAGAGAGTTCCTGAACCTCATCAGTAAACATTTTCCGAAAAATCACCAGTAGAGCAAAATTTTCAACTAAAACAACATGAAAGTTTGTTATAGCTGCACAGACAATCTACAAACCATAATTAAGAAACACAACAGAAAAATCCTCAAGACAAGCAAGACACCCTCCACGGAAAATAAATGTAACTGCAGACACATGTCAGGACCTTTCTTTAAATAATTAAATCAAAGGAGGAAAATCGGAGACTTGAACCCTGCAATATTGGTGAGTAAAAAAATAAATTTAAAGAAAACTTTCTTACCATTTGAAGATCTTCAATCCTTGTGTCTACTCCAGTGGCAACCTCTAATCTCTCGGTCGCAGTGTTTGGACATGGGTAGATTGAAGCACGATACCTAAGAGGGGAAAAATTTAGTTATTTACAGTCAAACTTGTGTCCAACAGTCACCCTCGGGGAATAGCAGGATGACTGCTTAACCCTTTAACTCCCAGGATATAATTGTTAATTCTCCCCTCTAGCTGCTACACATTTCCTTGTAAATTAGTAGCAAGAATTTGGTGTTAGATCAAGATAAGAGCTTCTACCTGATACATTTGAGTATTAAAGGGTTGATACAGGTTCCACAGAATAGGGGTATTATTAATTAATAGCAGAGAATAAAAAAATGCTATTTTATGCCATAATGTACACAAACTTGCTAAAAAATACTACTAACCTTGAATTCAGGAAATAAACTTGGATTAAATATTACTTAACATGAATGTTCCATACTGGTGGAGGGCATACAATAAACACAGACTGTTGGGACTCAGTTGAGGGTGACTATCATTGTTTGATAGAGGTGACCACTTAATAGAGGTGAAAACTACTAATAATACAAATGGAAAGAAGTTGGGAGGGTTTAGAAATCAATCCCCTTATACTGGGTGACTGTGCACTATGGTACTGCTCAATACATGTTCAATTCTATCATTGATTTAAAATCTTGACACAATTAAATTCACTCTGCAGAAAATTCAACCATACATATGGAAAGAAACAGATCAAGGATTTTGTTCCCTATGATCTTTTAAACCACTTATTGTCTGCTGTTTGCCTCATCCTTGTCTTTTATGTTAGTAAGTAAATAACATAACATAGCATGCCTTTTGGGTGACACAGATATTGTAGGGTAATATAAGAATTGCACATGACTTTAGACATGCCCTTTATTTGTCTGAGGAGTTCCTATTGTTGTAAAAGTTGCCCTGTTGTCTATTCTGTTGTTTTTGACAAAATCCTTCCAAACATAGTCATTTCCTAATCATTTCCTCTGGTCAATCAAACTTGTTGTCGACTAGGAATTTATATTAATGCTTGTTTCCCTGCCACCTCAATTAGCTTTACTATTTTGCAGGCAGTGATTGTTAGATATGTATTTTAATTGCTAAAAATAAATAAATTTTGTTGTTGTTGATAGGCTTAATGCAACAACAACAACAACAACAACAACAACAACAACAACAGTTAGATAACAAAACACATTTCTCACCCCTCACAAATTTTCATCACCCTGCTTTTGAGCTGATCTCCTTGAAAAAATATAATAAAGACACACTTGTTGACTTGGTCTCCAGTGCTTGGATCTTCCAAAGGAGTCTCTATTTCTGCCTGTTTTAACAACACATTCCCTCGACAGGCACGCCACAAAAGACGTTCAAATGAAGGCATTTGCTCACGCACTATGACTCCAGTGACAAAACTACAAAGGAAGACAATAATTTTGTTCACGAGCACCAAAATGTAAACGTTGTGAGCAAAATATGTTAGAGCTCAAATGTAAGATTATCTCTCTTAAGTTCCATCACAAACCAAAATTCTTATTGTTGCATTGACCAAGGAATGTCATGTATACCCTAAGTTTAAATGGATAGCAAGGTAATAAAACTTCCCAAGGTATTTTTTGATTATATTATGAGCACAAAACATGATAAAATACAAAACACTTGAATGTATTATTTATACAACTGGAATATCTTGTTTCCAATAAGTTCCTACATGAATGGGAATTTGATCTTCTCAAGGTATCTCTTAATTATTAATTTACAGGTATTAAAATATAATAAAGGATACATTAGACTTGTTTTGTTTGCACACTAAAAGAGCTGAAAAAAGGTGTCAGCCTATTCTTGGTTTATTTATCAATTTTGCAGAATGTAACAAAAACATCTACCATGGTGAATATATTTGTATAAAATACTTATAAATAAACTGGTAAACACACCCCAGTTGAGTTTCTTTTCCCATTTCATCCATTGCGTCATCTTCTGTGAGTGCCTGTAAATCACTCCTCTGTGATTCATGCATTAGTTGTTGATTTCCCTCTAAGACAGCCTAGAATGAAAATAAAATGCAATTTGCAAATTGTGTATAAATGATTTGAGAAAGATGGTTAATTTTGAGCTCTGTAATGAAATAAGCCAGGAATTATGCATTTTGTCTTGTCTTGACAATTGAGAAATGAAGGAAAATTCTACTTTCCTTATCAGAGATTTAGAACCAAAGACTCTCAGATTTGATTAGTGCTCCCATGTATGCATGCTCCAAGCATTAACCAAGAAACTCTTTGATGATCAGGGACACAGCTTTTATCAACTCACACTAAGCTTTTAACATTGCCAATCCCCACAATATAAAGGACACATGCCACATAAGAACCTAATTATGGCCCAGCTCACCATGGAGTTCTCAATACCCCAACAGTGAAGCAGTGATGTACAGAATCTGAGGGTTGGAGGTAAAATGATTCCTCCTGAGGCCTCAGAATTTTTTTTTTGACCCATGATGAGACAAGATGAAAAACTCCTTCTTTAAATCACAAAACAATTTTGCTGTGATTTTTGAGTGGTTATCCCAGTTATAGCACATTTGTGCACTGACTCAGGATTAAAAGGTCATGCACTGATGAAGTCCTGAAAGAGTCACAGACTGTCATGGCTATGGGCATGACACTTTGCTCTCATGGTAAAGAGACAAAGGAGCATATCCCATCCAAGGGAGGTAGAGACACTCCTTTTCCTGTATTAGGAGACCAAGAACAGACCCACGCAAATTCATTCAACCTATAATTAGGGAATTACACCATTTCCATATCAGTTTAAACATTTTTTTACATTATTTCCATTAATTAGCAACAAATTAGTGGATACACTATAGTAAAATGGAGCTTTTTCAAGTACAGATATGTTTGATTACCTCTTCAAAGAAGGTTTGAGTTTTTTGTAAAATGTGTTTGAATTCTGTCAGTGCCAAAGAGTTCTTCATAAGTGTCTCATAAGTTGTGTTGCTGTCTTTCATTTCATTTTCAAGCTGCTCAAATTGGGCCTAAAAAAGAAGAAAAAGAGAAAGTAAATGGAAGAATGAATAAACAAGTGTTAGAAATGAATAACTCCCAAGATCTGATTGTTAATTCTCCCCTCTAGCTGCTGCACATTTCCTTAAAAATAACTGTGTTGTGAGAACTTGGTGTTAAATCAAGATAACAACTTCTACCTGATACATTTTAGTATTCTCGTGACCTGTTTGCTGGATAGTGCATGGATTTTGTAGGGAGAAGTTATCTGTTGCTCATTTCTGAGAGTTAAAGTGTTAAGAGATGAGGAGAGGGAGGGAATACCTTGTGTGTTTTGTATTTCAATAAAAATCTTATTAATTTCTACCAACCTCAAGATCAATCATCTCTCGTAATTGAGGAGTTTCTGGATATTCTATGGCTTCTGATACACGTATATCTGCTTTTTCAATTTCCTTGTATAAGAATCCTACAATGAAAATTTTGCCAACTTTATTAAGATAACGATAAGGGTAAATATGACCAAATTAGGACTCATCTAAAATCTCCCCTGTCCACTTACGAAGTTTTCTTTCCATCTCCTCGCATCGTCTCACCTCATTGACGAACTTACGCTGAAAAGCGTTCACGTCTGGATTTAACTGGCGAGAAAAAGACATTGAAAAGTAATTTTCTGTTGATCTCTCGTAGAAGTTTTAAACATGTCAATACAAATCGAATGCAGCTGAACTCTGTCATTTTGTACTTACATCTCGAAACTGTGCTAGGCCCTAAGGAAGAAAACGAATGGCATAGCTCAGTATATTTTGTCAAAGAAAACAGTAGAGGTACATTAAAATAAATAACTAGACTACACTAAATCTATCGGATTGAGAGTTTCACTTAGTTTCGTACCAACTCTCCAAGTTCGCTCACGCAAGTGTAAGCTGCTTCAGCTTGAAGAAAAAGTTGAGCCAATGTCATTTCCTCCGATCTGAAAAGGGAAGACATCTCGGCAAGGAGCAGGTGAAGAACAGAAAATGTGATGAATTTTTTGTCCAACGTAACAATGAGTTCTATGTAGCCATCTGGCCACCACACGAACCTTATTTGTTATGTTATCTCTCCCGCGCTGTCACCAGTTAATCCGGTGAGTATCATATGATCAAAATTGGTACCCAGACTCCTATATCGGATATACTTCCTCCTCCGGGATGAGAGGGATGTTGTGTTTCTGAAAAAAAAAACAGGAAGGTTTCTTTGATTCCCGCATAATCAAAATCCTTCTCCCAATTCAGTTTTTGGGGCGAATGCCTTGCTCTCAGTAATTCTGGTCCAATTTTCCTAGATCCCTCGAGCGATTTATTTAAACGCTGTTGTTCTTCAAAATATCAATTTGCACAACTCCAGACCGATCATTTTTATGGCACCAACCAGACAGTATCAATTTAATTTTTTCACTTTTTTTCGAAAGTTCATTTCTATGGTTTTTTTTTAACAAACTTGCAAGAGAGAAGCCTGGAAAGGAAATATCACGTGATCGGAAGTGGAGGATAGCATCCGATCCAGTCTTCCACCGTGAAAAGGCACGCGTGTTTATGTTTTGACGGTTTCCTTGCACACTGTAAGCCGTTTACAGATTTTATTCAGCTGCATTTCAGTCTCAAAGCCCTCCCTGAAGCAGGTGATCTTCTCAAATAAAAGAAGATATAGAAGGAAAACTGCGAAGTTTCATCTTCTATGGTTTGAGTTTCCACGTTGTTTTGAGCCGCTTGAGGGATTCTGATGAATGTAAAACTTTAACTGACATCAGGATCGGTTTTGACACCGCACTTGAGGTAAAGAAGCTTTTCTTGCGGAAGATCTTTTTAAAATATCATCACCAGTTTTAAGATGGATGAAACACAATGGTTTTATCAGCTTTGAGAATTTCCTACTAAGGAGAGATCGTCGATAAGTGTGCCGCAATTTGAAGCTCTAATTTATCACAACTCGCATTTAACGATGAAAGCACTCATTCACCTGCCCAGATGAGACGATGAGTCGACGATTATGGAAGGTTTCGTAAACCATGGGGCAAGAGTTTAACAAACAGGTGCAGCCTGAAGATGACCTCGTGGTTTTAAAAAAGTCTACAATTCAACCTCCATTACCAAAGCATTTGTACCAAAAGGGTCCTTTGAACAGATGTACGTGAGTTCAACATATATATTCTTATTTGCTCATTTCATATGTTATGTTGTACGTGATAACTTTCTTCGTCACGTTCCCAGATTGAATTAATTTCTTTGCCTCTCTTCTTTCTCTCAGTTTTTCAGTCGTCTTTTGTAAGTTAGTTTTATGCCAATCAGGAGCAAATTACAGTATGTACAAAATTTGGCTAACTTCAGGTGCGAATGACTCAAAAGGGACTGTATCAATAAGCTGTTAATGATTGAAAATTCACTTGAAGTGTTTGTTTGTTATTTTAATGAATGCGTTGAATGTTTATGTTTTATTTGAGAGCATTAATCAGTTGATATCCAAACAATATTTACAGTTTTTTTTCTATAATTTATGACTGTACACTATATAACAATATCGGTTCTATATTTCAACGACGTTGGTCGACTAAATATCAAGATATGATGCACTTGTAATTGACTTTCCTGAGTTGAGATGAAGGAGGGACAGAAGTCTCAAAATTCTTGAATTTTCCCCCATATGTGTGAAGGGTTGGAGGATTCAATGAAATAAAATAATAACAATATTTCATATTTCTATGGCACAAAGTAACATGCAGATGAGATCAAATGTGCCCCACAAACTATTTGAGTAAAACGAAAGAAACAAAATGCAATGAATATTTAAGGATCTTCTATGAGCATACATTGGACATGAGATGGCACATGTAAATAGCCAATGAGGCATGTAGTGTATCATATCCAACAAGGGTAAATGGAATAATTTATTTATTAAATTTCATTAAATCCTGAAAATTTGGATATTTGAAGCCTCTTTTCAGCTCCACAAGAGTTGGCATTTTCATATTAGGTGACTCACAATATGAGCTGATAAGCAGAATTGAGAGAACCTATCAGAATAGTAGAAATGCAATATTCAGAGTTGGAAATTTTATAAGAGTAATTAACGTTTTCACTCCTTAGATCTCATTAGTAACTCTCCCTACTGTTTGTCAAACTATTCTTATAATGTTAGTTTGGAGAATTTAGTACTGGATGAACTAAAAATATGTTGAAGGATATTTTTCTATATTCTCATCACTGGTCTTCTTGAGATTGTATTGATGTTGACTAGGAGAAATTCTGTCTTGGTCACTCATGGGAGTTAAAGGGTTGATAGAAGTTGTTTGGAAATCCATGTATTATGACTATAAGTATAGGTTTCATTTTTTTGAAAAAAAATTGCAAGTGGTTTACCCAGGTATATCTCTCTATCAGTCATGTAACTTTTTCCATTCACTTGTAAACTTTGAAAACTATCACTCTAGACAAGTTGTATTGGTTATTCAATCCTAAGCTAAATTTCTAACACTCCTGTGACTTCTAAAATTTTTTTTTTTCAGTTTCAGATAGTGAAGTTCAAAGCATGGTCCATGTTTACCAAAACTTAGCAGCTCTGTCTCCCAGGGACAAACAAATTGATAAGAAAACATTGTGAGTATTATGATATTACCTTCATGTAATATTTGTAACATCTTGGGATCAATATCAGTATCTGGGCAACTGCCCACCTACCCCTCCCCTAACTCAACAATAGTCAATTGATAACAAGTTAGGGTTAATGTTGGGTTAGGGGAGGGGTAGATGGGCAGTTGCCCAGATACTGATATTGATCCACATCTTGTTACATTTGTTTATTTCTTTGGCGTCACTATATATGTTTCACTGAGGAGTGTAGACTGCTTTATGCAGTCTGGCCAAAGTTCTCTAAAAGTATTTTTAAGTACACTAAAGCACATTTGATGTAGAGAATGCATTATATAAATTCTTCATCTTCAAGTGGGAATGTGGAAAATAGATAGTATGCATGAAGAACAACTTGATATTTTTTATGTCCATAGCATGCACTATTTCCCATTGGATGGAGTTCTGGCAGAAAGGCTGTTTGTGGCTTTTGATAAAGACAGAAATGGACATATTGACTGTGATGAATTTTTAGGTGTGTAATAAGAGTCTTGGTATCTATAATATGACACAAACAATCTAATTTATTGAATTATGGGGGTGAATTTCTAAAGAAACTGTGGTGCTGTGTCAGTGGGAGGTATACCAAGGTATCTCAGTATTATCAGCTGAGTTGATAATGTAAATTTGCCACTGTTTCAAACGTCAGCCCTTCGTCAGAGTAAATTCAAAGAGCTAACACTCAAACTTCAGCTTTGAATATGCAGGATAAGAAATGCATATGCAGGATAAGAAATTATTTAGTGGAGCTAGGGCCCTAAGCCATCATCCGTTAAATAAAATTCTGCCGAAGCCTAAACCCTAGCAATATAATTTACATCGCAAGGTTTGCCTCCGCCTAAAGATTAATACAGAACGTTTCATGAACACATTTGTGAATAGACTCATTTTTGAACACAACCTGTTATAATTACATAATTTAATTTTGGCCATAGCAGGGCGTGAAATTGCGCCTAATACAGGTGCCAATACGACTAAATTTTTCACTTTGACGACCAAGCCAAATTGGCGACTAGAATGTTTCATAATAACCTTACCTAGAGATATAGTGAATTAAAAAGATTTGCAAAGACAAATCCGTGGCAAACTTCCTCGTTAAGTTTGTCTTCAAAATGCAGCACATGCACTTCGATCGATAACTAGATGCCATCTTGGATTTAGGTGAGCTTCAACGTTGCATATCATCCATCCAAGTGTCCACTTTGTAGCATGTTGAAGATCTTTTCCCTAACTTAATTTCTAGAACGATGACAGCGTAAAAAAAAGGTTTTGTTTGTCTTTGAAAATGGCGACCAACTTTTTTTGAATTGGCTACCACTTTGATGAATTTAGGAGCCAAGTGGCTTTCAGAAAAAAAATTAATTTCACACCCTGCATAGTATATTATTGTAATTATCATTACACAGTTTCTGGTTTATGTAACATAGGATAAGCATCTTTTATCTTATGGTTTATTAAAGACTTCAAAGACTTCAAAGAAACTCTCTATGGTGGCCAATTTACATTATCAACTCAGTTGATCACACTAAATTACCTTCTAGTTGTTAATATCTTAAACTGCTTGGTCAGCAGTGCCCCAAAAGAGTGAACACTCTCCAGGAAAACCCATCTGTGGATGGATTTAGAAAAACATGATTAATAGCTGGTGCCTTGAGTGTAAAACATGAAATAAAATTGACTATTTGACTTATAGGAATTTGTCTTAATTCTCTCTAATTCCTCTTGGAGCCTATGAGAATACCATTCATGTTACTAACCTCGTAAGCAAAAACAAAACAAAAATTTTAGTATTTTTCTTTTTGTTTCATTACACAAAAAGGTGGACTTGCTCTATGTTTAAGGGGTTCCACAGCTGAAAGAGGACAAATTATCTTTGACATGGTAAGTCAATTTTAATCAGAAGTAGTGAATCAGTGAACCTAGTAAACCACAAATGTCACAGTATCTGTTCAGCTATTTATTATCTGGTAGTGCAGGCACATTAGCAGGGAGAGTGAATTGGCCAGTTTTAGGCTCATGATACTTCACTGAGTTTCTATGTTTGATTTAGGGTCAGGATAGGTGGGTAGGGGAGGGGAGGGGGGAGTAGCCTCCTCCCTCAGTTTTCCTCTTAGCTTTCCTTTTTCCCTTAGATGAAATTTCTATCTTGCCCCAACTCTCAACAACGTTGTGTGCTTGGACACTTAACTTCCACTTTTCCACCCTTTACTTGGGAATTGAAAGGAACACTGGGAAGCTGCCGCTGTGCCAACTACTTTCTTCATTGTTTACTTATGTTGTTCAGAATTATGTACAATTCATATTTCATATTTTATTCCTCATATTACCTCTCTGAACCTTGTGCTGTTCTTGCTGGTCAAAAGTTTAACCTCGATGGTAGGTGTTGATGTTTTCATGTCCATACTACAGCTCAATATTGTCCAAACTCGTTTGATCTGTACTCTGCTTACTGTAGATTTAAGAACAAGCGTTGAGCCACATGTCTTTCTACTTACCTTTCCGTGACGTCCTGTCCACTTCAATAGTGATAAACTGTTTGAAACCTCAATATGTTTTCTATCTCAGTTTTTGCCTTGCTCCATTTCAAAACGTATGAGGATAAATTACTTATTTAGAACTAGATTTCTGTCGCTTTTGGACTTATTTATATAAGGTTTAAGGTAATTCTCTTGGATTTGACGAACGATACGCGCCAAAAAAGCAACTAGAAACGCCATGTTTTCTTCTGCCTATCCCACAATGTACCTTGTCTTCGATCACAACCAGAAGCATGTAGCATCCAAGGCGAGATTCTTCATACGGAGTAATTTTATAAGCAAGATTACCCCCACGATAACAGAGACCCACTTCAATTATAAACAGAACGAATCTTGGAACCTTTTTGGCTGTAACAAATTTAATCGAATTTATCAATTTAAAAGAAATAAATTTTCGCCAAATTGTTAACGGGAACTAATTTTCGTGGATTGATGGAAATATCGAGGAGTAGATCCCTTGACAATTTCAAGCTACATGGCGATCGTTTTCGGCTAAGAAAATGCTATTCTTGTTTCCTTCGCGCAAACTGAAAGGTATGGCGGTTTAAAATGGATGAATTAAATTACCTGCTATATCATTACTTAGCTGTCTGAATGTCTCGTCGACTTGGGAATTATAAAAAAAAACCCTCGTTAGCTTGCCCTGCACATTGAAATCGAACACTGAGTACAGTCTTTTTGTTGGAAAGGTTGGCTTTAGGCTACCAAGGACATGATCACCAACGATTGAAGCGAAATCACACATAAAGGTGATTCACCAACGTTTAAAAAAATTCTCCTCGTCAGCACCTCAAAAAATGTACTGAGAACAGCATGGAGAATATTTCTACTGATGTTAGGTTGTAAAGGGTTAAAGGTAGAGGATTAATCTTAGTGTGACATGTGAATCATGTGCTCGTCATATATTTCGTCATAATCACGCTACTCGAAAATTTTGACCTGTCTTCACTTCTGGTCTATTCATTCTTATAATAAAGTTCGGATATAACGCGCGCTGTCATTGGTTGAAAGAGCGTGCTCTATGAGAGTATAGAGCATAGAGCTGAGCTAAAGCTGTCACGCCATCTGCCAAATTGTACTATGTTCGAGCTTTTCCGGGACTTCTTTTTAGCTCTTTTTCGATAATTGAAAGTGAAATTTCGGAACTGAAGCGAGCCGGCAAGTAGCAACAGAAGAATCAAACAAAGGTTTGTAAACATACCAGGCGCCGTAATTTACCTTATTAAAACGTGAGCAGATACGAAAATCCTCAAAGGAAAAACAAAATAAACATTCTGAGTTTTAAAGATTTTCACGCTCAGTTAGATTGCAAGCTTACGTACGGTAATAAAAATCAAACACAGCTAACACTCGTATAGTATGTAAAGTTCAGTGTTCAAAAACAAAACAGAACAAAACAAAAATGATGAAAAATTTAACCAAACTGGCATAATTGATCAATTACGTCTCGTGTTTCTCCCTACACTTCTTTCGTGCTCTAGCCGCTTCCTGCGTGTTTTATAACAGAACAGAGCACAGTCAAGGCTTCTCTATTTGTTAATTAGAGTGAAAAGGTTTATTTGCATCTCTGCTTCAACTCGCCTGATAAATGGTATAATGAGAAAATGGCGAATTTTCCGGCTCACGTTTTGAAAACTCGTTCTCTCCTCTGCATTCACTGAAATCGCTGAAATCTGCTGTTAATTAGAGGCCAGCTGTGATGTAACTTCCGTTCCATTAAAAGGATAGGCACCCGAAGGTTTTCTGTTATCAGTAGTGAGTTCAAGCGTTACGTTAACTCTGTCAGTGAGAATGAAATTCTAAGCCTATGCCTCTCAGTTTGAACAAGACCTAAGTAAACCCTGGGGGAAAAAAGGAGAAAATCTCTTGATTACAGCAAATACAAGTATTTACAGAGTAGTGTTCAGACGGTTTGAAATAGTGGCTGGAAGAGCAATATTTCCGTCTGCCGTGAGGAGTCACTCAGCTTTCTAATAACAGAGCATGACCTGGCCTCGCCAGAATAGGAAATGTTATGGAAAAAGAAATGACATCATATTGCTCATTTTTACATGGTCACATGTACTTTTACTAGTACTGATATGATATGATGGATAACTTTCATTTCGTTAGGGACAGATGGAGTGAGTGTTTCCGAGATCAGCGTGATGTTGAAGTCCGTTCTTTCCGCCGCCGTTAGGTAACGTGTGAAAGATATTTCTTTTCCTTTATTTTTCTGTTGAAGTTTCTTCTTTGAGTAATTTTCCTTCTTTTAGTAATCAATTAAATCAACTCCACAATTCCGTCTTCCTTTTTAGAATCATCCATGTTCGAGAGGGCCAGAGTTTAGGTAAGCAAGTACTTTCAGATTTTTTCCGAGTTCTTCGTCGTTTTTTGCGGGTAAATTATAAGGGAGCTTAAGCAGAAGACCCCTAGGATAGGTCGATTAAAAAAATCAAATCACATTATTCTTAAGAATTTCATAAGTGGCTTGATGTGTTTATCATTTCCATCGGCGCCAGTCCTCCCTCATAAGCGTTACATGTAGAGGTAGCGTAGAGTTCGAAAACGAAACATGGACAATTTTTCACTATGGTTCCGTCCTCAAAGTAGAGGACGCGAAGAGGCTGTTCAAACTTTTAAAACGCACTTGCAATTTTTTTTTTGATTGCCGCGTTCTCGTTGCCGTTGTAGACGCAGATTTTTGAAAATCCCTATTTAAAATGAAAGGCACGAAGTCACGATTTTTCCGAGTGGTTTTTGGTACCGGAAAAATCCCCTTCACCTGATTTAGTGGTCAAAATATTAGTTCGGTAGGATTGAAAAACACAGTGAAGGAATTACTTGACCATAAGGGAACGGGGATAGCTCAAGATAGGGAAGGTTTTTAAGGATTGCCGAAAGCAATCTTTAAAAGGATATACAGACAGTTTCGCAACTCCGTGAAACAACTCTTAATCGCCCAGAATTCTATTGTCTTTCGCGACATGTACTTGCAGTGCCCATTTAATCAGCGGGCAGCATAATAATTTGTATATCCTGAACTAGTCGGTCGTGATTGGTCAGCAGGTACATGAGTCTCTTGACAGATTTCAGCTGCTGTCAATCAAACGGTTGGATGCGTAAAGTAAATCCCAAGGTGACATAAAGTGAACAATAGCAATAATTAACAATAGCCACGCTCTTAACAAAGCGTTCAGCAAATTCGTTTGCAGCGAATTCTTATATGGACTGACAGACTACCGTTGGTCAAAATGTTATCGGGATTATAAAAATTAGTATCATGAAAATAGGAAATAGAAAAATTTAGAAAATAGTGTCATGAAGAATAGGCGGTTTGAAAAGCGTAATTTGTAATCAGACGGTTTTCGAATGTGAAAGGCTTGCGGTTGCGGACTGACAACAAAAAAACGCCTGATTGAAGGTTATAAAAAGCGATGTTCAGAAAGCCAGCTAATCTTTGGTCAAGTGAAATGTTAGTTTCATTCAATCTTTGTCTTAAATGTGGTTTTGGCGAGCCCCCGTATAGAATATTGTAGCCATTTATTAAAGGTGCAGACATGTGAATGAAAGCAGGGTTGATCGGGGATCCTGTGAGCTCTAAAGAGAGCTCCCGATCAACGCGCTGCATTTCTTGCACGGAAAACATTTCAATATCTGGACGGTATGAGGCACAATTGTGATCTGATGATACGGTGTGTTAACAGAGATGTTTATAACTCTTCAATTTAAATTTGGCGCACATGTGTGACATGACACAGCTTCTTAACAATGCTTCATTAGGCGAAAGTGCGTCCTATTGTCTACAGAGGCGGGGCAAAAACTCTCTTGGAACTCTCTTGGGAGTCCAAAGGGAACAACTTTCGAGGGCTTTTAGGACATTTCGGTGTAGCTTTTGGAGATGATCTTTTTGATAACACTTGTGGCCATCGTATTAACGCGAAATTCCACCAAATCTTAGTTGAGATATCAAACGTACTTTACCAGAGGGTACCTAAGTCACGAAGTACCTTTGTGGAGGAAAAAATCAATCTGAATACTAATCAGTTCATATTCCATACGAATGCTGAGCGAAACGGCCTTTTTTTCAAGATCACTTTGATAAAACTTATCGGAGACCAACGTCTTGGATGAGCGTCTTAAATAAAAGCTGAACACCTCTACCACAAAAGAAAGAGGGTACCTTATCGCTAAGTGGGCTAAGTTGTGTAAAAATTTGTAAAACACACTAGGCATTAGGCCGTTTTCGGCCATTTTCTTTATTGTTTCGCCTGTTTTCAATTACGAGAATTCAAATTTAGCGCTATTGGCTACGCAAAAGGTCCCGGATGTGTCGCGGCATTCTGGGCGATGTAGCAATGAGGAGACGTTCTGTTGTCCAAAAATTCATCGGAAGATTAGTTTTTCCTGTTCAAACTGACGAAAAAAAAAATCGTTAAGTCAAAGACCTTTCCCTGTTTCCACTCTTATTTCCAGTGCAGTGAACTTGCAGGATTGAGTGGGTGGAAAGGGTCATTTAACGTCGACGAATCTCTTGGGAAGGGGGTAGTCTCCTTTGCAGCCGTTACGCAAGGGTATAAGAATGCGACGGGAAGCTTGCAATAACGGCTGCCAAGGAGACTAGATAGTTGGAAAGATGTAATCAATGTAAGTGAGACGTCACGCTATGACCAGGATAAGAACTGTAGGGAATCGTTGCAAAGTTGCCCGCTTTTGTGTCTGTCCCAGGAGCCTTCTTGTTCATTTTTCTGTGCCGAATAGCACAAGAAATGAAACGAGTTTGTTTCAAATTTTAGATGCCGATGACCGCGTGGCGTTAACAGATGTTGATAATGAAGTAGAGAACCTTGTCAGTGATGCGGTCAGCCAATGCGATGAGAGTGCGGTGAGTATCTACGTAGGTTGGATCAGATGGGTCTAAGCGCTCTGACGAAAGGCTAACGCTCCAAACGTCAGCGTTAGAAACTCTTTAAGGTGGCCAATTTACACTATAAACTCAGTAGGTAAAAGCAAATTATCAGATAATACCCCCCACTGACGCTGCACCACAGTTTCTTTTGTAATAACGTACCTGAAAAAATTACGTGTTTCTAATTGGCTTAAAACGAGTGCAATCTCATGTAACACGAGTGCAAATTATAAATAGCGCGCGCACGCTTCCAAAATTTCGCTCATCTTTACTTTCTGTGATGTCTTTTCATGTACATTATTAACAAGTTATATCATAATTTCTCTTGCAATGTGGTGTATAAAGCGCTGGAAAATTTTTCAAAGACTACAAATTGTACTTGCCCTACGGGCTCAAGCAATTTGGTTGTCTTTGAAAAATTTACTCGTACTTATTAACACCAATTTGCACTCGAAATCATGTTATTACCTTTTCTTCCAACTTTCCCTTATTAATAATTCATGTATACTTTTAAATTCCTAGTAAAAAAAAAATAACATGGTTTCTGGCTCACAACTGTTAAAATTCGTTTATCTCTCCTATTGGAAAAAAGGTGCTCAACACCTCGAAAATGAATTTTGATTTTATTTTCAATCTTCTGAATTTTGACCCATTTGATGCGTATCATTTTTAAACTGGCCGGCTTCTTGAAAAGTCATTGATCAATAAGATCAGGTCGACCGTACTTTGAACGATCATCGTGCTGTTTATTTTATTACACATAACTGCGTTGCAGGTGAACGAGTTTTAATGTCGTTGCGATCTTTTAAATAATTTATTCGTCGGTAATAAATAAAGTGAAAAGGGAATTCCCATTTTGGTCCAATCCGTTGATGACAACCAAAGAGGAAAATTGATTTTCATGACAGCTCTTGTCAGCGTCATTCGAAAAGAGGTTATTTCCGTTGCAGTTTAATTAGACGCAATACTGTACTGTAGTTCGAGCAGTTGGAACTAAGCTCTTTCTGGCCAGATGAGATTTGGAAGTGACCTTTTATCACTCTGTAAGCACGTCAACTTGACGAAGAACTCATTTTTCCCATAATCACAGGGTACTTAAGTTCATTTCTTTCGTTTAGACCTCAGAACTCCGCCAGGAACTCTAGTTTTTAAGAGAAAAATATTAAATGGATAATGACGTGGAAATTTTTAACGCATATTTATTTGAGAATGGTATAATTCAGGCTGTATTTTCCGTTAGATTCAGCTTGGTCTCACTCAACGAAAGAAAGATCTTCATGATATTAAGTTTTTTTTTCAGCAGATGTTTTTGATATACGAATTTCGAGCTCTATAGTGTTCACTCTAAAATTTGTAATTAAGCACCGACGTACTTAGACCGGTCAACTAAATAGTGTACATCACTTTTTTCAACAATTATTTTCACTTTTGTTGTTATTTTGTTTTTCTCGAAGTGTCTTTTATACCCGCATTTTTCTCCACCTATTGACCCCTGTGGATTGTTTTGTTATGTCGTTATTGCTTACTATACGACATGTCACAACTTTCCTCTTTGCAAGTCTTCCTTACTTTTGTTGTTTTTTTATTTTCAATGAGGTGTTGAAAACAATGAAATATCTACAATCTGTGTTAGAGATCTGAGAGGTGCTCACTGCGAATAAATTTACTTTTGCGAACGGTCATCTCAATATTGTTCACCTGATTTGAATGATAGGTTTGGAAACTATTAGATATTCAAATGATCGTGTTTGCGCAACATCACCTCATCGTATTTGCATTTTCAGCCGCTCGATTACTGAAGCGGTTTCCATCAAGTTTTTTAGATAGCAACAATTCGCGCATGTTATTTTTGAGTGGTTAGTTCATCTTGCGTCACCGTTTACGAAACCGAAGAGGTCATAAAGAAGAAACGTCTTGAAAGAAGAGTAAGTTTTCACTTCAACGGTGAGATATCATATTATTTTATCTTATGAGATCCAATTTTCGTGCTTTCGATTATCAGCTGAAGCTCGAGTTGCGATAAATTCATACACTGTCATGGCAAAGGTGAAACTCTAAACCTTGCTATATCGCACTACTGAAAAACTTTAAATAATCTTCGTTATACCAAGTTGCATATGCCTTCGAATTTATAGTATTTTATAATTGTAGTTACATTTTTCTAAATTTGCATGTCGAGGCGCGTGTCGCAAACGTTATTACTCACGCAAAGGGCGAGGTTACGACCTTTAGCGGCGTAGTTTGGGTCAGTTTTTATTTAAAGACGTCCCAAAAACCAAGCTCACAGTAAGTTTGACAAATTTGCCTTTACCGTTTGTAATCTGTAGATTAGAAAATAGCATTTATTCCGCATGGCTGTGTAATATTCATCACAAAGGACCTACGTGATATGTTACATCAGAACTGTTGGACCGCAGTTTGTTGTAGTTGTATTTCTTAACACAATCCGTGCTCAAATATTTCTGTTTTTAAGATTCATTTCGCTTTTGCTAAACTTACATGCAATTTAATTCATAGAGTGTTTGGCTTTTAAATTAATTTTGTGAAGGTCTTAAAATGGCAGTTGTAATCTTAAGGTCAAACTATAACAATGAACCGTCATGAAACTGCACAAACACAGCCCATTTTTAATTCTGGATATAAATTATTTATGTGTTTCAAAGGCACAAAAGCACAAAAGTACAACCAAGGGATCGTAAGATAAAATTTAAGGCCTATTACAAAACAAATCCAGCTTTGGTTTAAAATGGTGTCAACTTTAACTCTGTCATTCCTCAAATAGAAAGAAACTTATTCACCATGTATTATTTTAAAGCTCTGAGCCCTAATGATGTTTTTCTTCAATAAATATGACTCCTCTCCTACTCCAACGTACAACAAATAGCGACACGTAAACAATCGACCTCATCACCTGATGAAGGCTGGAAGTATTGCTGTCGAAACGTCGTGATCAACATCAAAAGCGACTCCATTGTGAGACAAACGAATAAAGTTCATCTCCTATCTTACACCACAATGAAAAACAACCACATATTTCATTACAATATGACTCCTGTTTTGTTGTTTTTGTTTTTGTTTCTTTCATCACGGACGTATTGGTGATGTTCGATGAATCCAAAGTTGTTTAGTCAGTCTGTATGTTTGTCTGTCTATCTCTCTGTCTGTCAGACTGTCTTGTCTGTCTATTTTGACGGGCAAACAGATAAAACAGCAGACAGACTGACATTTTCAGTCTGTCTGCTTTTTGATCTGTTTGCCCGTCAATTAATCCGTCTATTCTGTCTGTCCGTAAGTCAGTCTGTCTGTAGGTCTGTCTGATGTCTTTTTTTCCGCCTACCTCTGCAGAATGGAAAACTGACCAAGGCAGAGTTCGTAAGCTGGATGAGAAGACACCCTCTCATTGTGGACTCGGTATTTCAACATTCGAGTATTAAGGACAAACAGTTCAACACAGGATTACAAGTTAGTAACGAGCTTGGAGTCAGTAGAGCTTGGAAAGAATTGTGTATGATTAATAGTAATAATGATCTCTAGAATTTGTCATTTACTGCTTCATGATCATTTCCACAGCATGACCGTGGTCAAAAGAGCCAGAGGCCACCTGGGTTTGTGACAACAACACGTCAGGGAGCACGGTATGGTGCATTCCTCGTTCACACGTCCTCGTCTCTCTCTCGTACTTTTGTGGTAAAGGGTTACAACTTCGAGAACATACTTTTGCTGCTACAACCTTTTCTTTAAAAAAAACACGACCACCATGGCATTTTCCCATCTAAATCTGTGCGTGCACTGTCTTTCTTTGTTTGGAAATTTGTGGTCATGCAAGAAACTAACATCATTTGTGATAATTCTTTAATCTTTCCTTGTATTTTTTGTTCTAGGCAAACAGAACTGTTGAGCCAAACATGGGTTGATGGGCTGCAAGAGAGCGTTGATGAAGATGGTAGGATCAAAACACTTTCCTAACAGCCTTGCATAAGGCCCTTTAACCATTTATTCCCTTACAATGAATACTCATATTCTCTACACTGTCCTCTCTTCATTTTGTCTGCCAATGTCAAGGAGAATTTGTTTAACAATCAGCAGCTTCTTAAATTAAGGATCATTTCCATTCTTCTTATGACCTTTTCATTTGATTCAGGGGTGATTATGTAAGGAGATGTTGGAAGCCAGTCACTATTAGGAGTCCAAGGGTTTATCATACAGCGGACATTTTCGGAAATGTTTACTGAAATTTCTTTCGTCTTGCAACTAATTGATTGAATATTACCGCCATCGATATCAGTTTGTTGAGTGCGAAGGCGTCAGGAGTTAAAAGTAGTTTATTAATGTGTTATAATAATTTTTTTTTCCGGAATGATTTAAGATCAATGGTCTAAATTCAATCTTACTTTTCCTTCCGGTTTCACAGAACCTGTGTTCAACGGTAGTTATGCAGACGCAGAGTATCTGTGGAGTCCAGTCTTCCCAGCTAGTCCTAGCATGCCTTGTGCACGCAGTAGGCACTCAGTGTGTGTTTGGGGCGGTGGTGTGTTTGTGTATGGAGGTCGGGGAACTAGAGGAACTCTTAAAGACTTCTGGAGATACGATATAGGTGAGTTGGACTTCGTTAAGTAATTTGAAGTGTATAAGCAGTTTGATTAAGTACAACTATTTTTCTTGGAACTGCAGCCAATAACACGTGGAGCAACGTAATAGTTGAAGGCGAGTTCAGACCGCCATGCTTACAGGAACATACTGCACTCACTTACAAGGTAAGGCTTGTTTTATTGAATTTCAATTCAGTGTCGAAAGTAACGCAAGATATCTTTGGTTTTGAATACTTCGCCATGTTATTTGTTCAGGAAACTCGCGCCATTCCCCCAACCAATCAGGTTCGCTTGGTCACTTGCGTTTTTCCCGCGCTTCAAGCAGATTGCGGGTTTTTCTATGTTTTTTAATTTTTCTTTACGTGATATTTTCCTTCCTCTGATATGGCTGTTGTGGTTACTTTGGTGATAGATTTTTGACGCTCAATCGAAATGCGCTTTAGGCAAAATAGATAGAAGAGCAGTAAAAAAACCATCTGTAATAAACTTCGTCTCAAGCGACTGGATATGGGAAAACCTTAGAACTCAGGGCCAAAACATGTTGCTTTGTCATGACATGACAATGGGGGAAAAAAAATTGGAAAGCTGGGAGTCGCGACTTACCAAATCGGTCGCTTTGATTTATTGCAATAAATTTGCAACAGATCGAAGACCGTCTTTTCTGCTTTTTGTTGCCTCTGCACGAAGTGTAAGTCTCATGCAGATAGCGCAAAATGCTCCAGAAACCATGATAACTGATTTTCTAATGTTTTGCGTATTGTAGGGCAATATGTTTATATTTGGGGGAGAATTCACCTCAACCAACGAGACGCCATTGTGGACATTCAACTTTCGTAAGTGTTCACTAGTACGATTTTCTGTTTTAGATTTTGTAATTGTCTATTAAAACATTCCCACCCTACCCTCCACAGGTGCGAGGGAGTGGAGGAAACAAGCGGCAAAGTCATGGGTAAGCGTACGTCTGTTATATGCTTCTCAAACGTCTGGGAGCAGGGGGGGAGGAGGGTTGTTGGAGGATTTTGGTTTTGTAACGATTAAATGTACCTGATCCCCCCAGAAAGCTCTGTAATATTCTTACAACTTACCCCTCCCCCGCTTTGGCAGTTAATTGGCAGGCAAATTTTCTCAGTGTAGTCCACCCTTTATACTCTGTTGGCGGCGACTGATTCCCCCGATGCTCCCACTGAAATTATGTGACCACCACACCGCTCCCCCCCCCCCCCTTCCTTCGGTTATAAGTAAAGACTGTTCCCGGTTATAAGTAAAGACTGTTCCCTTCCACGAATCCCATTACAGGTTCCTGCAAAGCTTCATCTCCTGCTACTGAGATATTTGAAGAGTTCGTCAAACTGGAACACTATCGTAATGTGGTTCTAAATTCTCGGAACTAATCCCAGGGGAAATTCATGTTAGCTAGCAGAGACAAGCGTCCTAGATCTTGACAGCTTATTGCAAATTGTTCATCTTTTTCTAGGGCCCAGGTACGCGACGGTCCCACACGGCCGTGATTCACGAGAGTTCGATGTTCGTGTTTGGTGGTTACATTGATATGAGAGGTGCCAGTGATGAACTTTGGCAATACGAATTAGGTAGGTGTTCATTTGAGTGTCAGAAATAGCCTACCTTTGTCCCACAGTAGAAATTTCACCCTACCCTTTCAGCCTGTAGTGCGAGAGATCAATTTTCGATGGTTCTAGACACTTCCTTTTCCAAATCAGGTTTGGTTTAAATTGGCTTTTCATTTGCACCCTTGCCTTCATCTAAGTCAAAATCTTTTTCTGTTTAAATCAGAGCTGCCTGTTTCTGATGATATCATTCACAGTGTAATTTTATTTACTCAGACACTGCGAGATGGGTCAGGGTCAAATGGAAGAGAGAGGGACCATGCCCTCGTTACAGTCATTCAGCGGCTGTAGGAGCCGGTGGCATGTGGGTGTATGGGGGCTTGGAAGGTCTACAGTCCAAGAACGATCTGTGGAGATGGAGCTTTGGTATGTCTGTTAAATTATCACAATGTCTTAAAATTTGGTTTTACTTGGGAACTAGCGACCAAAGAAAAAGAGAGTTAGAAAGAAATTCAGCCCAACTAGGTATAAGCGCAATATATGTTTAAGTTTTAATTATAAAAATTTATTTAAACCAGATTTACTGCGTTTGTGGGGAGCTAGGGCGTCAACAGTTGTTGCGCATGCGTTAGCAATCATTCTTTAGGTCACTATTGAAAATAAAGTGGACGAGAGGTAAGTCGGAGGACCTGGAAGCGACTGAGACTTCAGTTCTAGTTTTAACGCGGCGCGGTATTTTCACGTTTCTGGAGTATTTCACCGTTTCTTGCGGTAAACAAGCATGTTTATTATATGGCAAGGTAGTCCTGTGGTAAATCTAAGCTTTCGGATTGGTTCTTATTTGGTCTGTGTTTTGCCCTACTGACCGCTTCCAGTTCGTATTTTTGTTCGCGAAAGGCGGCATTCTTGAAACAAACAAGTTTGGTCTGATTGCCATATAATAAACTCACTAACTAACCTCAATTGTTCGAGCCGTTCTAGGGAATATAGGCCCTTGGACAATGTTTAAAGACAAAAAACTATTTTTTGTTGCATTTAAGTGAGTCACTCTTGGACGCGGATAAAGAGCCGAGGAGGTCCGCCGGCTTTGTTTGGTCACTCTGCAGTTAACGTAAGTACAATTTTCAATATTTTTGTGTAAACATGTTCGGTTAGATGAATTTCTATGACTGTTCTTACAGCAATTTTCTCAGTCCAAAGAGTAGTCTGCCCGGTTTTTTGGCTTAAATACGCTAAGGAACGGTGAGGGGGGGGGGGGGAATTTTGGTCGTGTTACGATAAAACTCACCTGACCCCTCGCTAGGCTCTGTAGTCTTCATATGATCCCCCCTCATTGGCAGTCAATTTTCTATACTTCCCCTTTATACTCAAATAGCAACGACTGATTTCGCCCTCCTTCCCCCCCCCCCCAATTCCATTGCCCCTGAAACCCATGTGAGCCCCCCCCCGCAGGTGATAAATGCTGATGGTCCACAAGTGTAACTCAAACTGGCTTGAGTATGGTAATATACATATATATTTATATGTATATTAACTGTTTCATTTTGTTTTTATTTTTGTCTGTTTGCACTAGGTTGGAGAAGGCATGTTGATATTTGGAGGTGAAACTAGCGACGGTGCTTTGCTCAATACAATATGGCGGTTTGATTTGGGTAAGAGCCAGTAACTTAATCCCACGTTTTTATGGCGTCCTCATTTCAAACCGTTTCAGTTTTATTTAAAAGAACACGAATTCGTGTCTTCCCTCAGTTTTGGTATTTTCGGGTTACACTAAGCATCAAGGGAACCCTCACTGGAGAAACAAATTGTCATTACCAACCTTGAAATATTTCGTTGACAAAAATGGGATCTTATCACATAATTTTATTGTTTCGAGAGCTATTGAACTTTTCCTCTGACAATGCTGATTTAGGGGCCGAATTTGTTTATAGCCGTGGAAAGGAAGGGGGGGGGGTGGGAGGGAATCAGAGGATCTGTTCTCCCCTCAGGTTTTGTAGTGTTCTGATGATCCCCCCCTATAGTCCACCTTTTGAACTGTTGGCGGACACTCCTGTTGGCGACGACTGATCTCCCATCCGTCCCCCCCCAAAAAAAACCATGTGATTCCCTCCAAGATCCTCCGACCCTCCCCTCATCCACCCCCTTCCTCCTTTCCCCCCCCCCCCCCCAATCCAGACGATGAATAACAATTGTTCTCTTCTCTCAACCTTTTCAGGTGCCCGCACGTGGAGCACGGTTCGTCCACGTGGAGACATATCCCCACCCGTCCGTAGCTGTTTCTCAGTAGGAGTAGTTTCTTCGTCCGCTTTTTTTTCCATTCGACCGTCCACGGCTCACTCTGCCCCACCTTGCACCCCCATGCCTTCAGGCTTCTTGGGAGATGAGAGGCTCAACAGCAGGCCGTCCACCACCAGGCCGGAATCTTGGTGTGAATCAGTTGCTCGGTGGGACAGGTCTTCAGCATCACTGGGTTCTCTTGACTCCACGGTGCCGTTTCATAGTTCAGGGTTAAGTGTTGGCGACAATAAACGCAGTCAAGCTCGACCGGCGTCCATGTTTAGTTCAGAGGTGTACGAGAATTCAAGAGGAATGACTCTTTCAGATGATTCTCTTCATCCACATCCGAATCAAACTACTGCACAAAACGATCGTCCTGTTAAAGCACACACTCTTCCAGCACATAGTGTCACCTCGGTTAAAAAAAGCCGGGTGTACAGTCAAGAACTTTTGAACGTCAATTCTCCTGTTAGCGCTGATGTAAGGAAAAATTTAAGCCATCCATTTGCCTGTTTATTGGTTCTTGGCGGCAAGACGCGCACACAGGCGGATTTGGGAAAAAGCATCGACATATGGCGGTGTGATATCGATCCAGGTATGGATTTCTTTGGGTAAATTTAATATTTGTATCGTTCAAAGCATAGATTTTAGATTTTCCCAGTTAAAGTTATCGACAAGATTTGATCAGAGCGTATTGCAACACGGTACGGGTTTCGCATGTTCCGTAGTTTTGGCCAGCACTTAATAAGTTACAAAACGTATTGGAAAGTTTGAAGTTTCTATTTAACGCAAGTCTTTAAATCGCAATTTTTTACTACATGGCCAAACTTAAGCGCACAAAAGAGTTTTTAAGGTTAGCTTAAAACTTTACTTGGCAACCACCGCGGCCAACATATCAGCGGGCTCAACACCCAAGGGTTGTGGAACCAAGTGTTTCAAAATTTGAAATTAGGAGCTAACCCACCCTCCATCCCTGAGTAGATTTTAGCTGAGCACTGGATGTCACGTTCATACATGTCTTAGAACGTTCTCGTGCATAATTTGAAATTCAAATTCTAACTGCCTGAGATTTGCGATTAAAATCTGAGAAAATTAAATAAATAAGTAGAACTCCGACTTTCAACTAATAACAGTTACTTTAACTTTCAGAGAAGAGACACCCAACAGAGCGAGTGGAAAAGATCGTTGTGTCTGGCAACAATCACATGACTACGCCCACTGTTCGCTACTTTCAGTTGGAGCATTACGATGACATGGACACTGAATCAGTGGGAGGCGATCTGGTCTTAGCAGACTTGTCTGATAGCGATACGCGTAGTGTTGATTTCCTACTGGACGATTTCCGCTTGGACGCATCACATGGTGTCCCAAAAGTGTCCGTGTGAATCAGTGACGTCAAAGAAAGAACTCAATTTTCGACATTGTCGTCCCCAGGATCTCTCTCTTTTTCTTTCATCTGCCTACTTTTGTGAAAATCCGCCCAGCTTCGTGCCTAACCCTTAAACTCCCAGATCAAATTTGTAATTCTCCTTACTGTCAACCATACAATTCTTATAATGTTACTTCAGAGAATTTAATATTGGATCAACTAATTATCCCCAAATTGATATTTTTCTTTATTCTCATCACTTATCTGGTTGATATTGTATTGATTTAACAAGGAGAAATTCTGTCTTGGTCACTCGTGGGAGTTAGACCTTCCCTTTACCCTCGTCTTTCCCTCGAAGATTGTGAAAGGGAGAGGTTAGATCCTCGCCCCAGCCCAACACGAGGATGGGAAGAAGAGTGAGATCTGGTGCCGAGAATGTGCTTTAAAAAATTGCTTTATCTGCATTTAACAGTGGCTGCTTGGACTTTAAAAAAAAGGCTACGTCATAAGCTTTGAAAAATCCCATACGTTCTTGTTGTGTGTTGAGAACTTGTTGGTACTAAGCTGTGTTTCCAAGAATATATAACTTTCTTCAGTGATTTATTGCCGTTTAATCTATTAAGGGTCGGTCCCAGTTTGATTGTTTCTGGAAGTGGAAACCGGCAACGAGCACCAAAAAAAACCTTCTCTTTTCTTTTTGGCAGTGAAAACCTTTTATATGGAATCGTTTGTCGGCTGGTTTCCGACTGTCTTGTTTCGTCGGCCCGCAGCTGAAGAGGCCTGAAATGCTGGTGCATTATAAAATTACAATATGAAGTATTTTAAAGATTATTGAATTGTCAATATTGAATGTAATGATTGAATTCGAAGCCAGCCATATAAGAATATCTAAAATCGTATTTTAAAATGTTAAAAATTCATGTATCTAATAGAAGTTATAATTTCCATTGTATTAGTAGAAAACGAAAGCAATGCTTGCTAATCATACAAAGATGTTGAAGTTTTGTGCAAATTGTTGATAACCATTCTATAACATAAAGCGACCCTGAGCATTCCTTTGTTCGTCTTTCTTCGTTATTTTTACTTGGTCAAGTTACCCAGGCATCCATCTTCAATTTTTGGAAGAGCGAGCTTTGAAAACTGGGACATGTTCATTAAGTCGAAGTTTATTGGTCAAGCAAAACAAAGCTAATCTCAACGGCCAAGCGGAATGAAATTTGACATCGTCATGAGCCACTGAGAACTCGAAGTAAAGAAAGTGATATGCTCAAAACGCGGGAAAGCGCGAGTGACCAAATCCTAGCAGGTTAGCGTTTTATATTTAGATCTAACTCGATGAGAGAAGTGAAAAAATGGCGCGAGTTTTCAAACCTAACCAGATCAAACATGGTTACTGCAGGTCAGGGAACAGTCAGGTTACAGTAAATTTATTCAAGGTCACGAAAAAGTTAGGGAATTTAAAATAAACGTGAAATCATTCATCATGTCTCGGTCTTCATGATGAAAGATAGTGACACCTCTTTCCTTTTGTAGTGCAAGTAAAAGTTGGTTTGTGAATGAAGTCGAACATTTTGTTTTTTTGTCCCATTTCCAATGTTTTCTAAAATTATGAATTCCTTCACGGTCATAAAAGGCGTTGGATTGGCAGAATACAGAACAACGAAATGGAACTATGAGTTAATATTGGGTTTCCAAGAAAATCAATCCCCTTCCCTCCACCTTAATGAACTATCGTTTAATGTTCACACTATGAGTGAAGCCATGAATAAATAAATGTATGGCGGAGTTAGCTGAGAGGGGAGATTGGAAATTTTAGGTTTGTCAGGGAATTTTACAAACTTGTGGCAACCGTGACGAAATTAGGCAAAACTAGAGCAATTCAGTGGTTTACTTTCGACACTCAATTACAAATTGCTCTGAATATGACGGAAACCCGACGCAAAATTTGAATACTGGCGCCGCTGAGGTCGTGAACACATCCGGTCATTCACGAAATTTTAAAGAAAAATAGATTTATCTTAAAATCGACGTTTTCTTCGGCAAAGCCGTCCTGAAGTGTTAAGATCCCTCGTAACCAGACAGCGACTTCAAACAAGAACGTGGTAAATCAACAAACTTGATTGGCAGAACAATAGCTCAGCACGTGCGCTTTAAAACTTTGTACACTTCCATGCTGTCCTCTACAAAACATCGACGTCAAATTACGAAAATTTGCGTTGTCAGAGTACGGGAACACCGACTGTGAATTAATTGCGAATTAATTTTTCGAACTTAAGAAATTCACATTTGTTAAGCTGAAGTCCGAGATGTAGTTCCGTTCGACACAACCATTCGCGAACTTCTTCAAAAATAGACGAAGTCATTCTTTAATTTGGCGTTTTCCACGGCGTTGCCTTGCCTTCTAATCCTTCAGTCCCAAGATCTCCTTGGTAATTCTCCTTACTGTCTGCCATACAATTCTTATGATATATTTTGGAAAATTTGGTATCGGATCAACTAAAAATCCCCTAACTGATAGTTTTTCTTCATGGCCCCCAACTTGTCTGCTCGATATTGTATTGATGTTGTATGGAGAAATGCTTTATTGGTACGTTTTTTAAATGAAACGAAACAACAGACGAACCTTCAACTGTGTGACAAATATTATTTTAATGGATGAGACAACGATTTGTGTTCAGTTCCATTATTTTTTCTTTCATGTCAAGTTTTCTATTTGTCTTCAGTATTAATCCCAAAAACCGATGAACTTTTAAAAGCGTCCAATTCAATTTTTCGTTAAAAACCGTAAAGGTAATAACTAGGATTGGGTTAACCCTTTCCAACCTAAAATCAAAATTCATATTCTTCGTACTGTTCTCCAAAATTTCCTAAGATGCTGACGAGGAGAATTTGCCGGTTTAACATTCACAAGCATCTTTCATTGGTGATCGTTTCCTGTATTCTCGTTACCTTAGTCTTTGATTCAGGGGCGACATTGTAAGGAGAACTTAGATGCTAGTCACTCTTAAGGGTCCAGAAGTCAGACAATTCAAATCAATCAGAACAGTTCAAAGTCACATAAAAGTCTTCACTTAGTTTTCCCGTGAAACTAAAAGGCCCTCTTTCTTAATTTACAACGGTCGGTAAGAATTGGTTTTACGTTTGATCATGACATGTCATTTGTTTTCCTGTATGTTACATGTGATGCATGATTAAGTCTTGCAGATGATTTTTCTTTATTGAGTGTGCTGGTACAGTTTTAGACACTCCTCACTCCAAGACCGAGGGGTTAATTGATCCAGGAGCGATTTCTGAAAAGAGGAAAATTTAAAAAGTCAAGAATGTTAAAGTGATCACGCCCTTCGAAGCTGCCAGGGTCAGATAAATGCTATTGGTATAAATTAAGACAAAGACTTGTCCCAGGAGCCCATTATTCATATTGGGTTCCTGTCGCTCCCTAAATAAAGTAGCCCATAAGGAACATTGGATTTTCCTGTCGCAAGTTACTAACTTTGATAACGTAACTTGCGACCAAAAGCTATATGTTACGATCGAAAATTATCGCGATTTACATCCCATATGGTAATCCATGTAGTAAAAGTGGTTTATTCAAAGCGATTTTAGTGAAAACAAGAAAAACATGCACCCCTCTTGTGATTTTCAGACCATTTTCCCTATTGTGTGGCGCGCATTCCGTCAATTCAGTTTCAAATTTACTTAAAAAGTCTCGGGTATGTCGTGGCATTCTGCGCGATGATATCGCAAGTTAATAACCTCGCCGGAGTGTCCGTCATAAGCCACCGTATAAAGAAAAAGACAAAAAAAACAAGTTTAAGTTCAGTAACTTTTGGCTACTTACACTCGTACTGGGGCAGTTCCGGTGGGCAAACCATTCCTGACTATACAAGCACATCAACAGCCCATTGCCGATGATCAATGTGATCCACATAAACACATTCCAAGCCTGAGATATGTTCTCGACGTGTTTCTTTGGTTTCAAGAACACAAACGACACTGAAATTGAAAGGCGGATGGGAAAACGATATTATTAACTGACTACCAATCCTGCTGATCCAGGAAGCCTGATTAAAGACGCTTAAACCTAAATCTAACGTGTGACCTGATATTTTAGAGTTATCAACTGAGTTGATAAACTACATGGGCCACTGTGAAGAGTTTCAAAGCTGACGTTTCGAGCGTTAGTCCTTCGTCTGAGCGGAATCGGACGGAGGGCTAACGCTCGAAACGTCAGCTTAAAAAACCCATTACGATGTCTACTTTACATTATCAACTTAGTCGTTACAATCAAATTATCTATTTATACCATCCAACGACGTAGCACCACAGTTTCTTCATAAACTTATCCCCTTAATTCCAATCTATGACTTGGCGCGCAAGTAAACGCCAAGTAGTTTGTCAAGTTTCAGGGAGACACTGTGAGAGTGGTGACCCAGCCTAAAAGGAGAACCTGACGCACCCCCACCCCCCAAATTAACACTTTTGAAAATAAGCTTACCCCGTCGTCAGAAAGCCCCCTTCTACAATTCCGAAGCTTCTACCAAGCACCCTTTTTCTCTAGGTCTTCGTTTAAAACGAAAACTTTGAAGTTAAAACTGGTCGAATGCTGTAGTAGTGGTAAGCAAATACTTATTGAAGCGTCTCAGAACATTAATTTCGTTCCCCCAGGAAAGCAAAGATAAAATTCACAACAAAAATGAATTACTTACATCCTATGACACCAAACATAAAGAGAAGAATTGGGAAGAAGAAGCGAAAAGAGAACATCAACACATATTCGTGAACAATGGCGGACAAGATAAACACGGTCACTCTTGCCACTTGACGGTTCTTAATAAGCTGAAGGAAACAAAGTTAAAACAATCTGTTAGCCTGAGCCAAGTTAATACAAACATTAAATTTCTCCTAAAAATGTCAAAACTTTATGAAGCTTTGCGATCGAAAAGAGTCATAACTTGGGCGGGAAGTGTACTCAGGGAGATATAACACCACATCGGGAATAAAGAGTTCAAAAGGCGCTTAGAGTACGGTAGCATCATATCAAGTCTTCTCACTGAAATTGAAACATAGACTAAAGGACAAGTTACTCTCTGGTTAATCTTCGCGTTGTCGAGATGTCGGTCACTCGGACAATCGGGACCTTCAGCAAACCACGACGGCGATGGCAACGAGGAAATGGAAAAACAAAAGATCTAATTGACAGAACAATAGCTCAGCACGTGCTTTTTAAAACTTTGTACATTTCTTAGCCGTCCTATGCAAAACAACAACGTGAAATCACCACAATTTGCGTCGTCTGCGAACCGAAACCGCGACGGCAAATTATTTTAACTTCCATTTGGAACACAACGCTTCTTTTATACGTTATGCTGAAGTTGAGGTGTGGCGCCGTATGAGACGGTAAACACATGCAGCCATTTTTAAAATTCTAATCAAAGGCAGAAACTTATTTTTCAATCGAAGTCTTCCTTGGCGTTGCCGTCCTGACTGCTTAAGGTCCCTAATGTCTTCAGCGGTGAAACGTCGTGCATGCAACTAGCCGCGCTCAAATTTCCCGCGCAACTTCTTAAAGGAAACAACCGGAGTCACTCAGCGCACGCAAAATTTACGGAAAAAAATTGAAAAGTTCAAGGAAACAAAAGTAAACAAGAGCTTGGAAAAGGAAAACTTGAGATACGTCTAAAACCACATTTATTCAGTGAAGGGTTTTCCGCTGATTTACGATTCTGCTTTGAACGCGGCCATAAAATTCAAACGTTTCCAAACACCATGTTATGTTGATGCTGCTTCATTGCGGTTTCAACGTTTGCACATGTGCAGACGATTGACCGCTGTGCTGACCGATACACAATCAACTCTGTCTAATTACTACAACATTGTAACTAATAATGCTGCTCACCATCAAAACGTCCTTGTAGATGTACGCGTACAGCCAATCATGCACTACAACATTCCATGTGCGGTAGTAGTCAGCGTAGGAGGTAGAGTTCCACCAATCCTGTTGTAAAATCACGAGGAGACAAGTTGTGCCGTCTATTCATTAGCTTGCTAGCAAACTATCTTTATCAGCGCTGCAGGACGCGCGTTTCTTCGCCTGCGGGAAGATTTGAGACGAGCCGGGGAGAGGTTTGCCGCGGCTCTGGCCTCATTATCGGTGCTAGACCCTGCAAACCTCTCAACGGCTCGCAGTGCTCAAGCCCTTTTTCTCCACCGCGGGCGAAGTAGTATTTAATTTCTCCAAACAGCAACGCCCTTGATTCAAACCTTAGGGTCTTATGAATAAACGACATGATTACCATGTAAGGACGCTCTTGATCAGGATACAAATTCTCCTGGTTAGTAACAAAGGCGATGTATGGAGAACAGTATGGAGAATATGCATACTGATGTTAGGGTGTAGAGTGTTTACGTTCCAGTTTGCACTAACGATGAGGTGATTTTTACTCACCTCGTAAAACATTCTGTCAGCAAACCTGGTCATTTCCGCGAAGGCATTTAACCAGGAATGAAGGATGGCAAAGAAACCAAGAACAAGAACCATTGTCCCGGGAAGCATACAGTTGAATACTGACAACGTGAAATGTCTGAAAATACACAACAACAAAAAAAAAATCAAAGTTCACGTGAGACACGGTTCAAGTTTCCCGCCGTACATTTGCAAAAAATGGAAAATTTGAAAAGGCTGCTGCTGGAGTGGCGTTCCTGGGTTGGACAATAATAACAATAATATAACAATGATGATTTAGCAGTGGACTCTCCACGAGGGTGGCTCTTCCTGTTTACTGTTTCCAGGTTGAATTGCAATTTGGAATGTTGGTTTTTGTGGAAGGAGGAAAACCAGAGGACCCGGAGAAAAACCCTTGGAGCAAAGACGCAAACCAACAACAAACTAAACCCACATGTGACGCCAGGTCTGGGAATCGAACCTGGACCACAGTGATGGGAGGTGGGCGCTCATGTGCACAACGCAAACAAAAATCAACATTTTTTGGGAGTGGAGGAAAGTGGCCCCTAAGTAAGAATACAATATGTGTCTACAACTTTTAACCTCCAATGTTAACTGTCTGTGTTGCAAACTGGCTTAAAATTCAGCAACATACTCACTTAAAACTCCAATGTCCCTTTCCAATATTCCTGAACACGGGCACACAAAAACGGGCAAAAACGTAGTACGTGTAGAAGATACAGGCCACGGTTTGAAATGAATTGGATACCACATAATTCCATCTGATACAAGGAGTCCTGAGAAAATGATCCCATATGTTTGAGGAAGTTTTCTAAGTTTTGTTTCATAAGCATCTAATAGAATACCCTCAGGGAAAAAAGAGATTGATTTATCTCATAATCTTGGTTGCCTTCTAAGGAGCTATGAAGAAAGCTTGTGTATGCCATCTGTGCCACTAATGGCATGAAGAGAACTAATGATAAATATTTTGATGAGTTCTGACATCTTTTAGAGGACAGCTGCTTGATTTAAGTAACACTAGCCTGTATTCTCCCCAAAAGAACCTCCTCACTCTCTCTGGAAAAGACTACAGCAGTCATCAAGACATTCTCCATCAGTCCTACCAACGAGTTATCAATTATTCATTTGTAAACCCTCTCTCAGATCTGATTGTTAATTCTCCCCTCCAGCTACTAAACATATCCCTGTAGATTAGTTATGAGAATTTGGTGCTAGATCAGGACAACAGCTTCTACCAGATAAGTTTGAGAATTCTCATTGCCCGTTTGCTGGATTGTGCATGGATATATTATAGGGAGAAGTTGATCACTCTTGGGAGCGAAAGGGTTAATCAATAGTTCTACACGGCACTTGCCCCCGTGAGGACTTGTCCTGGTGAAACTCTGTCATTTGCCAAAATGCAAGCCTCATCATTTTACCCTTAACTCCTCAAAGAGACCAGCATCTAAATTCTCCCAACAGCAGTACTGCTGAATAATTCACTAAGATTATGAGAATAAAGAAAATGATCTCCATCCTGATTGTTGAACAAATTCTCTTTGTCAGTACCAAAGGAAATGTATTGAGTAGAGTATAGAGAATGTGAATATTGATGTTGGGGTGTAAAGCATTAGTTGTTGAATTTTTGATACTTACATAGGGTACTGATCTCTGTAGATGAGAGTTGGGCAAAACAAGAAGTACAGGTATTGTCCAAACTCTGGTAGTGACTGCTTTTCTTTCTCATCTCTGTCCTCATTTGCATCATCGATATCTCCCTCATTAGCTTGATCTGTTTCTGCAGATGACTCTGAGTTCTCCTTTAGCCCTTGAAGAGCAACAAACAAATGTAACATGTTGTATAACAAGGGGGTAGGTTTCTAAAAAACAGTGGTGCTCACAAAAGGGCTCTCGCTCAAAACATCAGCTTTAGACTGAAACTCATCACCATAGCCAGTTCACATTTAATTCATCAACTCAGTTGTTAAAACCAAATTTTCACTCAGCATGAGCAATTTGCAGGAGTCTTCTCTCACCAGTTAGCAAGTTTGTATTTTGCAGGAACCAATTTTTGCCATTCAAGCTGCAAAACTATAACAAGGAAAGAGATCTAACACTTTCAAATACCCAGTTAAACTGATCAAGTGGGAGCCATAAGTAGACCTCCACTTGATACTTGATTCCTTGGCAGATTTATTTCATTTCACTGAAGGTGACAACTCCTCACAGTGTTTCATTAAGAGGGAGAAAACTAATTCTGTGGATTGACATCAATCCCCAGCTCCACAGTTTAATGGTGACAATTTCCCATGCGTAGGATTGACTCTGAACTGATAATTCTATTAATTAACAATGTATTTATTTACCTTTTGACTTTTTGTAGGAAAGAACCTTATGTGCATTTTCCCTGACAAATGCATGCACTTTGAGCATAAAGCGAATCTGAAGACACAAAAAAAGAAAATGAAAAAAAAAAAAGGATTAACTCTACAGTCTCATCAACCCTTTCACTCCCAAGATCTAATTTCATTTCTCCCCATTGGCTGCTATACATTTCCGTGTAAATTGGTTACAAGAATTTGGTTTTTCATCAAGATAATCACTTCTGCCCGATAAGTTTAAGTATTCTCGTTACCTGTTTGATGGATAATGTATGAATTTTATTGGGAGAAGTTACATGCTTATCACTTCTGGGAGTTACAGGTTAAGACTAAAGCTTATCTTAGTTTCTGTAGCATGAAGTGACTAACAACACTGACACCCCTCAGGGGGGGTTGTGACTCAATCTCTTGTGACACACCACCCCTCCATTTCCCCTCACCCCCTATCCCAGAAATTCTGTAACTCAAAGGGAATTACAAACTCTATGGAATTCTTGCAAGACTGTGGCTTGTTTCTTACTGCCCTTACCTGTTCTGCAAGGATGATAATTGAAGAGGCAGGTGGAAGATCCTGTTGGCAAACTTCTTTGACAGGGAGTATTGTAAATACAGTCATGTAGATAATGTAAAAAGTAAGCCAGACCAGGTCTGGTAGAGGCAGCCATGAATGGCGGTTTGTGTGCCAAGCCATGAAAAGAGGAAATGCAGAGAGTGCCATGACCTTCATTACGAGCCACAAGCTGACAACTATCGAAGGTTTACCAAATGCCCATTTCAGTATTGAGAGGTCAAGTGAAAGACTGCAAATGAAATAAAGCACAAAAAAGTGTCTAACCATGCAGTGCTACAAATTGTAATAAAATAGTTGATTCATTCCACTGAAGTTGCAACTTTCTAGAAAACCATTATATCTATGTATGATATACTTCACTTAGTGTTTTTTGTGATTGCGCAGCATTGAGGAAAAGGGATATTATAGCAAGCTGCAGTGCATTTTAAATCTATTTTCTTAAACCTTCAACTCCCCTGAAGAGATTAACATACAACTTCTCTTGTCAAATAATCTTGTCATTACATCTCTTCAACTATTGTTTGAGATTTGAGCACATGCCCCCCACCCCTCCCCCCCTCTCCCCTGCCTTGCCTGAAAGAATATTGAAATGGCCACCGATAAATGTCTCTGTGCAGGATTCTTTTTCAGAGATACTATTTTTTAAACTGAGTTAAGTTCCATCATGTTTCCATTTATGTCTGCTTTGTTGTGTTTTAGGTCTGAATAAATAAAGAACAAAACTCCTCACCTCCCTGAATCAATGTAGTCATAGACCACTGTATTTATAATGAACATGACAAGTAGGGCCACAAAGATGTTGTAGATTGTCTTGATATGGTTAACTTCAAGAAGTTCCCTAGTGTAGGAAAAAGACCATTGATTATGAATAAAGAATTGTATGACTTTGCAAAAATATTTATCAAGTTAAATGCTCATAAAAATCAGGCTTTGAAAAACCAGCCTCTCACAAGAGCACTGATAAATTAAAATCCACCAGTTTCACCTGATAAAAAGTGTTCATAAAATCAGCCAAACTTACGTTAACATTGACTGTCTTGCCACAAATACTTTATTTCCATTCAGCTTGTCTCTAAAAAAATAAATAAATAAACATTTGATATTTATACAACTCTGACTGATAGTTACATTTTATTTCAGGATAATAATCTGGGCTCCAAGCTTTACCTGACAATTTCATGTCCTTACTTAACCCTTCAACCATTAGAAGTGACTAGCATCTAATTTCTCCTTACAAATCCCTCCTGAATCACACAATAGGGTCATGAGAATGAAGGAAACGATCAACAATTAAGAAGCTTTTGATTGTTCAACAAATTCTCCTTGTCTGCTCCTAAGAAAATGTTTAGAGAACAGTATGGAGAATACATATGCTGATGTTAGGGTGTAGTGGGTTAAAATTCCTCCTATAAGCAGAGGGTCCACATGTTGTTGCCTGCCATGATGCTCATAATAGTTATGTTAAGCTCAGCATTTAAAAAGGGTAAAGCATGATGAACAACTTAGAAAAAAACTGAGAATAACCATTGTGATGTCTTTTGTTTTGTATTATAAAATACTCAAATTATGAAACAAAGGTTACATCCTTAAAATTCTTGTTATTTAGTTAAATGGGGGTGAGTTATCCACAGATAACATTTATCAACAGTATGACATGTTGAAAGACAAGAGAAGTAGGCATCATTTAAATCGCAAGATAAAGAGATTATGTATAGCATGACAACATAGGTGGTTTTAACATAGGTCAGATGCATATTTTCACATTTCAAACATCTGCTTAATTCTATAAGAAGCAAATAGAGGATTTTTATTTTGACCAAACTGACTCCAAAGATAACAACTTGCTGTTTGAGTTCTCATCAACACTAAACTGCAAAACATGACTTGTTAACTCCTCTCTGAACCAAGTGACTGAGACCTAACAATGAATACAATATCAAGCAGGCTCAGTGGTAGGAGAATTACTAAACAGATCTTGGGCGTGAAAGGGTTAACCCTCTCACCCTCACAATCTCAGTGGTAATTCTCCTTGCTGTCTGCCATACAATGCTTATGATGTTAGTTCAGAGAATTTTGTATTGGGTCAACTAACAATCATGCAGCTGATATTTTTCTTTGCTCTTAGTACTTAACGTCTTCTTGACATTGTATTGATATTGTAAGGAGAAATTCTATTTTGGCCACTCATGGAGGTTGAAGTGTTAAGAGACCTCTCACAGCCAAATTCTTAGTTGTTAAAAGTAAACACTTTTATTTTTCAGCAAACTGAACCTGTTGTTTATTAACCTGTGACCAGCAGATATATTCATCCACAATGATTGATCTATTTCTGACAAAGGAAGTCATGTTACTGAATGCTTTTTCTTTCAAAGAGAAAATCTCTTTCATGCACATTGGGAAGTAGAGTTAACACCTTTCTATGATGCATGGAATTTGTTGTGTCTTGGCTTTCACGGGTTCAAAGAGAACAAGAGCCCCACTTTTTGTTTCAAAATTGTCTCAGGAATAATTTGTCAGTGTGAGAATTAAAGTGATTCAAAATTTGTTCTAGAAAATACATCTTCGATTTTCGCAGAGGTACAATAGGATACCTAAGGTGGCTCAGTTGATGCCACAAGCAAATACTAAATGCTAATGGATTAAAATTGTCTGGTTCACCAACATTCACCCTGATTAATGTAAAACACATTTCATTTGTAAAACGGCATAAAATATTGGTAATATGTCCATCTGACAATCTAAAGTGCTTGAAAAGTCCCTCAACCACCAACCAGAAATGACAAGTTAAGGACTGTTAAGTACTGTTAATGGCAAGTTAAGGTCTCTGATAGATATGCCCTAAAGCTTCCAATTTAAACATTACCATCACAAAACAGATTTTGACAGCTGTATCTCCTTATTATGTTAAATTATTTGAGTCAAAATTATCTGAAAAATTTCACACCAGTAATAAAACGAAAGTATAATTGATTTGCACAAAGCGTTTGGCGAGAAATTTTTCATCATCAAACTGTTTCGTGATCGATGGCGAGCTGGGTTTCAACAGCTGTTCTCGCGCAAAAATGTTGGGGCCTAACAAATCAAAAGAAGTCGAGCGTAACTGACATGCAACACATAAAAATAGTGAAATAATGGAATCCTGATAAAATAGTGGTTATTCTGTGTAAATCTGTGACTCCATAAACTCTTCTGTATGTTTAAATCTACCATCATGGGGCCGTTTGCTTGTTAAAACACACACGTTTACATTGTCACGTGCGATCTCCTAAACAAGGAAATTACACAATGAACACCAATTTTATCCTCCTATTGGGCAAAGTACAAGTTCTAATTCCAGACGCAACAAGATATCTATTTCAATGGAAATTGTGTCATAAGGAAAGAAAATAGTTTGTAAAGTCCGGCGAAAGGAAGCAGTTTCCTCGCTTTTTTCCTTTTTAAGGAAAAAAACCTAGGGCGCTGAGAGCACTTCATTCAAACGTACCTAACAAACGAGTGATCTACGACGGATTCCAAGTTATCCACATCGTAGAGGACGTCATCGAGTAACTCATTGAGTTGACCATCAATCTGTTCTACCAATTCCGTTCTCAATTGCTTACAAGAGAGAAAAAAATTCAATTAAAAACATTACTTCGGGGAATTCAACGAAAATTTGAGATAACATACGTTCACGCAACAAAACGGAAAATTATAAATATGGAAAATGAATGAAGTCTATGTTTCTCAGATTTACAACGCGTGGTCACAGAAAGGAATACATCACATTTTAAAAACAACAACAAAAACATCTAACACAATAGGAAATTGTTGAAGTACAAGGCTATTTTTTTTTTTTAATCCTTAATTGCGGAACAAATGTACCTCAGCACGTCGGCGAACTTCTTGCGCTCGTGCGCGACCCATTTCGTGTTTCTTGTCCAAGAAATTGGCGCCTGAAAAGAAAAAAAATCATCATACTTTGTATCCGAACCAAATCCTGGCCTGCAGTTGGTTTCGCTTATCACAGGCAAATCACCTCCATTCATAGTACGAGTTTGCCTCCTCCGTAGGTTAGATGACGAAGCCATTGTTGCAGTTCACTAAGATTTCGATTGTCATGACCTCTCTACCGGCCTAAAGCTTAGAGACCAGGCACCGCAAGAAACCGATGAGTTTATCAGGAAACCTCGGACTAGTCTCGTCACGTTAGGTTTTATTTAAGAATTGTCACGCTAAACATAACAACTCGGAAATAATAATATAAGGGCTTTGATGTGAATGAACGGTAAACACTCACATTAAGATCCTCATGAAATATATAAGCATTCCAGGAAAACGTCAAAATATGAATATCATGGCCTAATGTTTTTTTCCAAAAGCAAATGGTGGGAAGCGAAGACGAAATTCTTTTAATTTCCTATTATGACAAAATACATTATACACGCCTTGGCGTGTACAAGGTAGACCGTTTTGTTTAAAATAGTGACTCGAGTAAATCTGGAGATAGTAAAGAGCTGCAAAATCTGACAGTTCCATTTTCAGTTTATTGGCAATCATAGGAACTATAGATATACACTTCAGTAGTTTGCTAAGAACACTAAGGGGATTCCCTTGTTCCCACAGTGTAAATGTAGAAGAGACAATACCTAAAATTAATTTAAAACGATCGAGATTTTACTAGGGAGATTTTTCGTTGCTTCCTTGGCTACACACGTCAAAATGATAAACTAACCTGCTATGTTTTAGATTTCCTACAGATACAGTATTAGCATGTGGTCTTCCTTTAAGATCTGTTGTAGCGTCGTTGCAGTGACAGATGCGAAGACCTTTGCCACTTTTGTAACGTTACTCAACCACTCGTATCTACTGTGTGTATTATAATCCCCCTTTTTCCCTGATGCGATCTGAGTCACGGCCGGTGAGGCGCACGTCACTGCGTTCGATCCAGGCGCTAATTGGACAGTATAAATGACGTTGTATTAATTGAATTGTCTGAAGCGATAATGAAGTAATCAAAGCACAAATATCAAAAACGTAAACTACTAGGACTTCCACAATGAAACAGTGAAAGGAAAGGAATGGATTTTCTATCGAACAGTCGATTTCTCGGGCTCGTAGCTTTGGGCTGCGGGGTGTATGTTACGCGGGAAGTACACATGATGTATTTCAGTGAAAAACCGTGGGACAGGAAACAGCACGGTTATGAAAGATATCCTCCGCGTGGAAATTTCCCTGATTTGCGCCTGCACAACAACATAATGGCGAATCATCTCACGCCAGACTTGTATGAGTCGTTAAGGTAAGCTTGTATACCAGAGACTGAAAAGTGGCGTGAACTTACCCTAAAGTTTAGGCCGGAAGGTCAATTTAACAACGTTAATGTGAAATTCCAACTAAAGAAATCGAAACATCGCAAGGCTGAGAAGTGACTATAGTGAAGAAAATTGTTTTTGTAAAAATAACGCGTTAGATTCTCATAACTGGTATATGACAAACGGAAACAACAATTTAACAATATTGGAACTGAGAAGTGGTAGTTGTTTAAAGGAATATGAAACTATGAAGATTTGTTTCCTCACGGGTATAAAAGAGGTAAATTTTAAAAGAAACTATGGTGCTTCGTCGATAGGGGATATTGCAAGATGATTTGGTTTTATCAACTAAGTTGAGCGTCAGCCCTTCGTCTTTCGTCCTGATTGATTTCATTGAAAACTGAAATTCTTCCGTTTCTTCCCACTTCTCGTCCTTTGCGGAAGTTTTAATCTAAATTTTATATAAAAAGAAAATAATTTTAATTAAGATATATTTCATTTAAGAAGAAACAAGACAATAAATTTGCGTTTATTGAATTAAGAGGGTGTCAATGGGGTTAGCCACTAGCTGTGAAATGGCCAAAATTTTTAACTGTTGACCATAAAAGCCATCATCCCGGTGAGACCTTTAATTTTATGGTTCAAAATCTGAGCTCTTAAGCATTAAGCATGCTATAGAGCTCAGTTTTAGAAAGTACAAAAATAACATCGAATAGCGGAAAATAATTATATCGTCTATCATTGTTCACTTTGATTGTTTTAACAGACACAAAGAAACACTCTTCGGTTTCACTTTAGACCAAGCTATTCAAGTCGGTGTGGACAATTTGGGGGTTCCATGGCAACGAGCATCCGGGATAATAGCGGGAGACAGCCATTCATACGAGGTGTTTGCACCATTGTTTGATGCTATAATCGAAGAGTACCATGGACATAAAAAAAGGAATCTTCATCCAAGGGATATGGACAGTCATAAGATCGACGAAGGACAACTGGACAGTGATTATGTGCTGTCTATCAGGCTGCACGCTCGACGCTCCCTACGGGGTTATGCTTTGCCGGCAGGGTGTCCCCGCAGCACAAGAAGGATCCTTGAGGACCTTATTTACGCGGTACTCATGCGACTGGGAGGTGAGTGGGGGTGAGGTGAAGGACACTCACAGTGGGTTCCCTAGAAACCTAAAAACCTTAGAAAAAGAATGACAAGAACTTGTGGCGTCTTAGACTGAAACTTCCGATTTTTCTTTTTTTTGTAGGTGAATTTGCTGGTGAGTACAAGCCACTTGCCGAATTTTCAGACTCAAAGCGGGGTTCTCTCAATCTGCCATCGCATCCCATGTCACCAGTAATTACGTGCTCAGGGCGTGCCCGAGACTGGCCTGAGTCACGTGGTGTCTTTTGTAATAAGGACTGCACCTTTTTTGTGTTCGTAAATCAAGACGATCACCTGCAGTTTAGGTGCTTTGATATAGGAGGGAACCTTCAAGCGGTGTTCGATAAGTTGGTTCGAGGCCTGGCCGCGTTTGAACGAGAGCTAAAGAAGTCTGGGGAAGAGTTCATTTGGGACGATCACCTCGGTTACATAGTGTCGGACCCAATCCATCTCGGTACTGCACTCGAAGTCAGAGTTTGCGTTAAACTGCATCACTTATCCACGGTAAGTCAGATGCAGCGACTTTTGACTTCTCACATTTTGCTTAAGCAGGAATTATATTTTCGATCAGTCGGACTGGCTTTTTGGTTTACAAAGAAGATTTTGACTTACTATGTATCTTCTTTTAAATCTCCTATCGAAGGATTCAAGACTTCGATGGATACTAAAAGCCTACAAATTAGAAAAGAAGAGGACTGGTAAGTAGGGGAAAGGCATTATTTTCTTTTTCAGTCTCAGTCGTAACTGAGTACCATTATGAACTCGGAGGGGTCTGGACTCTATCTTAGAGGGAGGCCTCTATATTTGTAGCATTCGTAGACAGAGTGCCCGTCATTAACTTTCACAGGCTCACTCGGGAAAATTACGACAACGCTCATGAAAAACAACTCAATCTTGAAGAAATTTTTAATTGGGGGAAGATTTCAATTGTTCTTAATCCATTAGTCGAACAGTTGAGCTTAGTTCGTAGTTCCTTTAATTCTATTACAAAAAGTAACAGAATTACAGCGAAAAATCCCAGTTTTTCCGAGAAATTTCCTTAGCTCTCTCTCTCTCTCTCTTGCACCCTTAGAGATCGTAATTTCTCTCCTGGTCCGGTTCCAGGTTACACGCGGTCTCCAAGGCAAGAGTGACCTCTTAAGCCTAACAACTAGATTGCAGCAAGAAAATTACGTACAAACATTCCTTCTGTAGCTATTTTAAGATTTCTACCACCGACAATTTTATATTTCCTTAGCACCTTACTGCGTTTTGGGCCAATCATAGGTGAATCCCTTCTTTTATTTTCACAGGCCTTTCGAAAGGAGAAATGTTGGCTGGAATAATGTATCTTCATAACACTCAAACTCTGGGTGTGTCTGAAGTAAGTTCATGTCACAGTAATGTTTGATCGATCCCCTTCGATAATAATAATAAGAAAGTCGGCTTACGCAAGAGGTTAAACTCAAAATAAATAAATAAATAAACTCAAAGTGACTTAAATGTTTCCGAATCTTGGGTGTTAACGTAGGTTAGGAACAATTAAAGAAATAATCAACGGCACAGAGTAAAGCCTGATAAAAGAATTCAGGCGTCAAAGGAAATCTCTTTCGCAAGGCTGTATTTTTGCTCCGAATGAGCCTGGGAACGATCATCTTTGACCCGTTTCTCCTAGGTCCCGCTCGGTTACTATTTGCAAACATCAGTCCTGTTCAGTAGAACGGGTCAAATAATACTTGAAGGAAAATCATACCTACTGACTATTTGTTTGTCCCAACGCAGTATGATTCCTTGTCCTCTTTCACCATCCTATTTGCTGACCAAGAGCCATAAATAATTAAGAGTTGGCCATCCTCTCAACAATCTTTTTCTCTCTTCTTAGGTGAATTCTATCCGGCAGTTATGTGATGCAGTTAAACGGCTTATAGAGCTAGAGCGCATGCTTGAACAAGGACAGGATATTGAAGATGCTTTACCCCTCCCCCCGGTTCCTGTGGGAAAATCAATCAGATTTGACACTTTGGAATCCTAAATAATCTAAATGCTTTGTATAAAATATATAGACGACAACCGAACCGTTATAGACTGTTTTGTATCAAGCTTCACCTTATGTTTCCTTCTTGCGAAATTTACTCGATTTACTCGATGAAATACTTTTTGCGTGCTCTGAATTTATCACATAGTGTAGCATTGGTCTCGTACCCGGACCTTTCACGGTTACAATTACACAATGTACGTACAGTATAAATAACTTTTCACTCTGGATCAGGGTATCAATTTGCTTTGGAGAAAAAGAAATGCTTTGGTCATTCATTTAAGTACAGTTTTACAAAATAAGGTCAAATAAAGAATATTTTATTCAAGTCTGCGTCTGCATTGGTAAATTTGTTAATCGCTTGGCCTGACCCTAACCTCCCTCGTCTAGTAGCCAAAACTGACTTAAACGGTTCAGAGTTGGACGGCGGAATGGAAGACGATGAAGGATCCAATTGATTTTAAAACAAATAAAGGCAGTCGAGGTCTTAAAAACATGTTGCCGCCTTCTGAGGAAGGTACTGAAAGGAGATGTTAACTCCAAAAACCATAAAAGAAAGTTTGTTGTTTACCGCGTTTGAGATCCTAAGGAGTACATCGGCCTTTCAAAAATTGTCTTCGAATGAAGACAGCGGTCAAACAGCTGTAACACGTTAAAAATTCGTTTGAAATGCGCATATCTGTAGGTGCTTTTTCTTAAGTTTATCTTCTATTCAAGATCACGACGACGCCCTTTTGGGTTTAGCTACTGCTTAACAAACCTGCTTTATAAAGCATCTTCTTTTTACCTGAACGATAATTTTTGTGTCTAGTGTCTGGAGAAGGGTTTATAACTGACACTGGGATACTTTCACTGGAAAAAAAAACATTTATTAGGAATTTTGTTGACCGGGGTCATATTTGATCGTCTAAAATCACTGCCCAAAGAAGACATTGCTTAAAATGCCGGTTTTGTTTGTTAAACTTCAAGGGAGTCATTTAACGCCTAAGTGGCTCACAAGTGTAATTGAATTGGATTTCATTTCAGGCATTTTCTGTCATTGCTTTTGAAGTAAGTTCCGCCAAATGTAAACATATGGATCGTGACATAACTTATTTATTTACCTGTTCGAATCCAATGAGATTATTCTTTACACAAACCTTAATCCTAAATGAAATTCACGAAATGTTGCACGCATTAAGTCTTTCGGGAAAATGAGGACATTATGCATTTTGTTGATTTAGGAATCATGTCTTCCGACGCTGGCTAATAATTCAGAGATTAGTTGTCATTGTACATGAAAACCTCACAAAATTGCGGGCTTGGAGGGTACAATGGTAACTGTCAGCTGAGGAGGACTTAGTTATTAATCACGAAACCTAAATATATTGCATTTTCGTTCTGACATTTTCTGGAAGAGTTTTTCAAACACCTCGGCACGTGGACGGGAACGGAGAAAGAAAGGTGTTCGATTTCAGGTAACGAAAATTAGGATGTTTTTTCACAGAACTACAATTATTTCACGTTTTGAGTAAGTAACAACAATTCAAATTTGTGTTCATGAATTGAAAACTTTTGCTGTTTTGGTTTTGCTGATCTTAGCTGACATCTGCCACACAAAAAAAAATAATTGAAAATGGCCTTCTTGATAACATCTATTTCCTCTTGCATAATCCTCATTGCCAAGTGCGGCCTTATTAATTCTAGTAAGGACACAAACTACTTAAAAAGACAAGAACTTCTGGCAGTTTCGTTCTTTGCCTTACGACCTCCTTGTTTCTATGCTGTAATAAGAAGGATTTATTTTTCTGTTACGACTGTTCAAAATGTGATGCTTAATTTCCTGCACGTAGTTAATAGCGTTGGTCAAATTTACTCGTAGTTTCTCTCCCCTCCTCATTAAACTGAAAAACCTGTATTTGCCAAAAAGACAGAACCACTCGGGCTAGGAAAGGAAGGAGTGGAAGGAGGGATACTGATCAGTTTAGATTGAATTGTTTGCTTTAAACTTTAAATCCGGTTAAGACGCATGGGCTGAAACATATCTTTCTGTTATCAGCCTTTTTTTGGAGGAGTCGTAAACTTGGAAAGATTTCTTATACACGAACACTTTTGCTATATGTAAGTGCTATCGGTTGCAACGCAAAGGACACAGAAAACCTCTCAAAAACGCTTAATTACCATGAATTTTGTATGAATGTTGGAATAGGCATCTATACAATCCGCATTTATTAAACTGGTTCCTTTTTTTTTTTTTTTAAAGAGAGAGATTTTCAAAGTCTCACCGTAAGCTTCTAATTTGTCTGATGACGGTTAAATTTCACAAACAAGATCCTGAATAAGCCCGATTGCTTGTTCGTGCGTTGAGGTTCACTACGGAACGCAATTGAACCCGGTCGATTCTAGATATCGGTACGTAGCACTGAAGTCCCTTACTCGTTTAGAACATCGTTATATAATCTGATGGGAAGAGTGGGAAAGTGGCATTGCTCTGCAATAGAAGTCGAGAGAGGCTTTCATTTGCAAAAAAATCTGCCCTGACAAGTAGTATCGACAGACCTCTCGTTTTATCGCAAAGATTACCACGGTTTTTTTCCTTTTTTTTACGGAAGGCTGACAAATTCCGTAGGGATTTTCATTTTTCTGATCACAACTTGAATTACACTTGAACTTGTCATCCAGTCTGGCATGAGTAAGTATTGTTTTCAGTATAACTATACTGTTGTTGATGGTCAGTGTAACATAACTATCACAATCGTCCAAAGCAAATTCTGTAGGATGTTGTCATGATGGATGTTATCATGATGATGCAAAACGAGAAGAGATTCTGGGATGAAACATAAACACCTGTGCAACAAAGGGCAGTGCGAGTCAATGCCTTTGATTTGCTTCTAGAAAGAAGCGGTGAGTGGAGTTTTCAAGAATACACACGTTCCCACGCTTGCAAAGCATAAGCTCATCTGACAGAACATTTGCAAATTCCGATTTTTTGTGGTCATTCTTAGATTCAACAGGTTGATCTAGCAACAAAAAAATTAAAACCTTGTAAAAATCATAGAATCGGTTAAGACGCGTATTGTCGTCACAGACAAAGTTTTTGAACATCATCCAAACATCATCAGCACCAACAAGGGATTTTTATGTTCTCTAGGCGCCAACTAGTAAGAAAAATCAGTGATTGACCATTTATGCAAAGAAAGCATTTACAAGTTCAATTCTTTACTACAAGACCAGGAAATCGAGGATTCTTAGTTCTGACCTTCCTTCGAATTAAGCATTCTAATATTCTTGAAACTCGTGTCTCAAGCTTTTTTTTTGTGGTAATTCTATTATGCTTACCAAGAAGTTGACTTATTGAGAAGCAAATGTCATTCCTTGGCTATTTGACATAGTTGAAGAATTCTTCAACGGAAATACTCACGGAACTTAGTTTTATAGATAACAGCTTGCTTAGACTGTGAATTTTGAAGCTGAATAGATGCTTAAAATGAGATTTCGAGGACAGATCTAAATTTTTCGAGTCGTAAGAAGGAGCGGGGGGAGGGAGGGAGGGGGGCTTAGAGGATTTTGTGGGGGATCACAAGGTTCATAGGGGAACTGAGAGGGGATCAGTTTACCTGCAGGTAAATTTTAATTTGATTCAACCAAAACTTCCGACCCCTCCCCCCAGGGGATAAATAATGAAAAGTTAAAAATTAACCAATCCATTTATTATCAAGTCGGCAAATTAAAACGTTTAACCTCGATACCGAATAAAATTTTAAGCTGCTACCGCGTTTGTATAATCAGAAAACTATCTCGCAAAAATTATCCTTGTAACAGAGGTAACTTGGTATCGGAAGAATTAACAAAGACGCCTTTTTGGGTTTAGGAACAATGAAGCTAAAAATTCTATCTTGATGTCGAAATATCTATTATTGTTTGTTTTGCATTTACTTCATTCAATTTTGTTTATTGTCTCAACATTCTGGATAGTTGCAATGCGATAAATGTAGTTTTACAATTCAAATTAGGCCACAAACTTTCCTGAGCGATGTTATCGATAACTCAAGCTTTACAGAAGGGAACAAAAATGCGAACACGCGGGATTAATTTAACACGGTAAAGGACAGAGAGGTAAAGCTGTCTTTTTAATTTTAGTAACTTCTTAACCTCTCTACAACGTTTATATTAATCAAGTAGGGCAAAGTTTTGTTTTCGTTTTGTTATTACGAAGGGTCATGAGGCGATCGAAAGTTAACCAGACTTCTGTGCCTCCAAATTGTCTTCGATTTGAATTTTGTTAAAAGTTCTTAGGTACTGTTGAAAAAGCGCTTCAAAAATTATGAATTTCATGACAAATTCGAGCTCATCTTCGATCATTTTGCAACAAGACCAACATGCACACGGCTCGCACGAAGAGAAGCTATGCCAACAGCGGGAGACTAACTGAAATCAAGCTCAATTTTCAACACTGTTGACTCCAAAAAGGGGGGTATTATAGGGTTCCGAACACCGCAATACCGCAAAAAATTCGGCAATTACCACAATATTGCAAAAAAAAAAAAGTGCCAAAATACCGCAACACTTCAATACCGAGTCAAAAATCGATGTCATGCCGAAACCACTACTCTGTTTGTTACGTTTAGAGCAGATAACACGGAAATGGTAATTATAAGAATTTGTTAGGTAATTTTCGATTTCAGCCTGTTTCTGAAACAATTGGAAACTGGAGAACACTTGAAAAACGGTGGAGGACTTGGCGGATAAACTTTAGCACACTCCAAAATGCTAAAACTAAAACGGCATCCAGCAGGTTCGGAGAATTTAGCAATACCGTAATTCGAGATTCAAATTACGAAAATAGCGCAAGAAAAAGTGTTCAATACTGCAAACGCCAAAGTCCTCTCCAAAACTGGATTGACTTTGGTCAGTGATGGTTACGCTTGGATTGAATGAACAGAATGACAACTCGATTACGGCAAGTTGAAAACCTGCTACAAACCTAGTTTAGAGTCTCCTGTCGAAAGCGTTTTGGGTAAGCAGTATTTCACTTTCAACTATGTTTTGTAAGTCCTCTCTGAATTTGGGGAACAACTGTTTTTACTTAGTATCAAGAGTGATGAACTCTGATTCCTCTTTGTGAGGCAGAACCGAGACTACTGAGACCTCAGACCCCCTTAAAGTTTCCACCACCGTTATTTTTCATTTGTTTCGCGAAATTTAATGAGTGATCGATGAAACACCATGTTTACGAAAAAAGGACTAAACTCAATTTATACTGATCTGGAGAGTTCACTTGAGG